TATAATCCTAACCGCACACACCCAGAAAGGCTCTCAGATGTTTTTGGGTTTTGGGTGTCGGAAAATCTTGAATGGCCTTGAGTTTGTCAGGGTCGGTGGCAATGCCATTTGACGACAAAACATGACCCAGAAAGCGGACCTCTCTCTGCAGAAAAAAGGATTTCTCTAGGTTGACAGTTAATTTGGCGTCACCCAGGCGGGTTAGAACCATGTCCAGATCGAGCAAATGTTGTTCGAAAGAGTCGGACAACTCGCTTCAAAATGCTTGGAACATATTCTGGACCATTTATTAATTACTAGCTTTTGCCCGCGGCTTCGCACGCGTTAAATTCGGAGTAAAACAATGTTATTGTGGGTTATCCATAAGAGATAGACATATACCATCGGGGAGTTTTCTGTAGACCTTTTCAAGGTGTACAATACTTAGTACATTATTTTGATAAATCTCGAAGGGTTCAGCTTGCGTTTGCAATGTAAGCGGAAAAAATGTAATTATTTAAGACATCACATTAGAAACCTCAAAAATAATAGTATTTCTCTACTATACCGGCTGTCTGGAAAATGGCGGATTAACTCTTCAGTACGTTATATACGGGGGTTTTGGGAGTCCCAAAAAAATAATAAAAAAAATCTTTATAATGTATTGTCTTTGCCATTTCTATTGAAATACCACCTGTTGATTTTGCTTAAAATTTAGCAATTGGTAGCAGCGTTCAGTTGATTGACAACGGCTTTTAGTTAGAAAATTGTCTGAATATGAACGTTGCCAAATTTACGATTAACAAGTGGTGTTTCAATAGAAATGGCAAAGACTATAGATAACGAAAAAAACGTGATTTTATAAACGTAAAATTGGCAACACTGTACACACCTAATGCGTGAATACCTCTCGCTTACTTTCTGGTTTCTTAGTAACGATGCTGACTGAAATCCACCTTCGCTTTATATCAGGTAAACATTGTTGTCAAATGGAATTTTATCAAATTATTACAAAAACAACACAACCATATCTTTGTGCATTCTAACTGAAATGGTAATTAAACATGGTCATGAAGGAGAAAAATATTAACTAAAAGTTTTACTACTAGGTATTCTGATAATGAATGAGTTGCTTAGTTGTTAAACGTAGCAAAAGAACCAATTTTAAAATCATTATAACTCCACCAAAATGTGAGAAGGATTTTTTTTACTATTTTTCCCAGACTCACCAATTGATTGTTAAGAAGAGCGTAGCGGAGAGTTAATCCGCCATTTTCCAGACACCCGGTATAATGGTTGTTATTATATATATAAACCTTCTTCTTGAATCACTCTATCTATTAGAAAAAACCGCATCAAAATCCGTTGCGTAGTTTTAAAGATCTAAGCATGCATAGGGACAGACAGCGGAAAGCGACTTTGTTTTATACTATGTAGCACGGTGGTAGAAGTAAGGTGTGGAAACCTCATTCATAACTTTCCTCAAAATCATTGGTAGAAAACACAAATCGCGTGGTTTGGATTATATGTCATTCGCTGTCCACACCGCAGCGACGTCTAGAGAGATCAGTTGAAATTAAGTAATAGAAAACTGCATTAAATCTTTGACATTTATGCCAATGTCATTTATTACCCAATCACAAATGTCGAATCATCCACCAATCACACGATTCACACCAAGGACCAACCACAAACCGTTGTGCTGTGATTTATTTTCCCTCCAACGAATCTGTCACTTAATTCATTCATAAATACACTGACAAGTTGAAATGTTAATACATAGATGGACATACTGTGCTGCATACTATTTCGTAGTAAATAAGCCTACTGGGATGCGTGTTTTATTCAACAAATTGGAGCGGCTTGTTTCCACACCTTACTTCTACCACCGTGCTATGTAGTGATAATATTGTCAACCCCAATCGCAGCTAGCCACTGATTTAGTAAACCAGGGTTTGAATGAGGTAACCTGAAAAATAGCTATTTGTGCAATAAGATAGGAAAAGTGACATTTTCCCACATTCTAGACATGAGAGAAAAACATGTCGTGAATGTGGAAAGACACTTTTCCTATCAAATTGCACACAAGATTTTGTAAGATTAGGTAAAAAAAAACTCTTCATTATAAATTTAATTGAATGATAAAGTATCAAGTCCCTTTTAATGCAATAAATTTGTTGTCATGGAAAATACAAACAAACAACGCAATATTTTTCAATTTTTCAACGTTTGAAGTGTTTTGGGTGTTTCTTGAGGTAAAAATGTTGGAAGATGATGTTGCATGAGTATCTTTTGATGTTGAAGAGTCAGCCACACTGGCACGCAACTCACTATTGCCCGAGAAATCAAAGAAAAAATATAAAAAAGCGTACAACGAGTTTGAGAACTGGTGTTTGATATTGTTTTGTTTTATTTTTCCGCTCTAGTTAGGAAAAATTTCACTTTTCCAAAGCCAAATGAATGTGGAAAACTAGAACAATTAACAACCGAATTTTACAAATAACATTTTAGTGCTGATTAACTTATTGATTCTGAATTACCTGTGAAAACTAACACCTTGTCTTGAATAATTTACACTTTTACACGATCTTACTTGGCAACGAGGCATTCTTAAATGCAAAAAACAAAAAGTAAACGAAGTTGGCAAAGTCCAGACTTTGAAGTTAGCTAATTAGGTCCACCACAGAACAGTCAATATAGAAAGAATACTGTTTCTAGCTAAAATTTGATGGTTTCGTTGCTCTTTCCGAGCCCGTAGGATTTCTGATTGGCTTAAAACTACAAGAAAACACTTCAAAAGTGACGTTTCTGAAGAATTTTAACAATTTTCTTGTATCTACGAACGCCAGAATGCATAAAATTGACCCAAACGTCTCCTTTTCCTCATCTGAGACGATTCTGCATGCTCTAAGTGTGTTTCGTCGCTCAGAATCATCAAAAAATGTTGAAATGTAGTTCAGATTTAATAAAAATCGACAAAAATACTGCTTCTAGCTAAAATTTTATGGTTTCGTTGCTCTTTCCGAGCCCGTAGGGTTTCTGATTGGCTTAAAACTACAAGAAAACACTTCAAAAGTGACGTTTCTGAAGAATTTTAACAATTTTCTTGTATCTACGAACGCCAGAATGCATAAAATTGACCCAAACGCTTAGATCATATAATAAATAGATACCACCATGCCGTGTTCTTTCCCTAGGACAGCCTGTGACGACATCCTCCTGTCACACATCTCTCTCGTGCATGGAGGGATTACAATGAAGCTATCCTTGTCTGATCACTATTTGAATTTTGCGCGCCTAAATTTTAGGAAGTATGTCTGAACTAACTTCGGAAGAAAGATGTTGACAGCTTGATTTTATAAATAATTCACAGTAGATAACGAAAGGAATAGTAAATTATTGGGCAGCAATTGTGATCGTTTATGACTACATCACTTAAAATAGGATCTTTGTTCTAAATTCTAAAATTGTTTTTTGTACAACTCGAAAGAGAGGTTAGAAGAAACATCTGTCAAAAGCGATTTGTTGCGCTGGTGCGGTACAAGGATGGAAGTGAAATAGACATATACAGATGAAATGCATATAACAAAGATGAAGATGTGGTGATCACACAAGGATAGCATTATATTACTCCCCTGACGTAGAAAACGACAACAGATAGCTTCATGTCTAGTCACAGCTTTCAGTTTGAGTATTGGTATCTATTTATTATATGATCTAAGCCCAAACGTCTCCTTTTCCTTTTCCTAATCTGAGACGATTCTGCGTCCACGTCAAGTATACACGTTTTGCCTCAACCCCCACCACCTTTATTCACCATCTATGTATAGTAGACATCTTTAGCGCAGCGTAAGGTACTTCTCTTTCTTACACATTGGAACTGTAGTCTGTGCTGGAACATTGAATTGCGGTACTTTGGTTTTCTAGCGACTTTAGTCTGAAATATTTGAAATTGGGCGGTCTAATTGCATTGGTTTTGATGGTTTACGGCTGATCTTTCAAAACATTCTTCACGTTTTGATGGGACCATTGTTTAGGTACTAACTGTTTATGGTTTTTTGAAAAAAAAATGTAGATTAACGTTTCCTAATATCGTCGAATTTTGCAGCCATCAAAACATAGAAAATAAATTAATAAAACGTAAAGTCGTTATCCAAGAAGCCTGGAGCCAGATCTGAATTTCAACACAGTATTTCTGTAGTAGGGCGCTTAATTTATTATTTATTATAGTATACTGTGTGGTTTCTAAGATCAACTACAAAAAGATATTATTGTTATTATTTATTTGCATAAACACATTTAGTTTTTAAAGATTTTTTTCTGATCTAAAATCGTCTCTAATTAATTGTGCATTTGCTATGAAATATGGACATTTTAATTCCATACAGATTAGCGTCTAGGAAACCATACTCCTTGTGAACAAGGAAAGGAAAGTCGTGAGTTGGACATATAACAATATATGCCAGTTTTAAATTTACAAATCCGAAAGATGAAAAAATAAAATATAATAAAAATAATTTGGCAACATTGACTGTTTTCATTTTTGCAATTTTTTTTTTTTGACATAAACCTTTTTGTTTTTATACGTATTTATTGCATTATTTTGATATTCATCACAAAACTAAAAACATCCTAAGAAAGAATGTATCATTTGTGCGAGTAATAAATTAAAATCTGAAATCATCACATTTACAGATTAAAAACAGATTTCTATCTTTTCTTTTTGCGATTCAGGTTATTCCGATTTGAGCAAAGTAGTGTGTAATAAGTTGCGACACAAATAAATTTTTAAATTTTCAAATGAAGCGATTGTGCTACTTTTTACATGGCCGACTCGGCCATCCTTTTTACACGGCCAGCTCCATTAACTACATACGGCCGTCCCATTTTTCAAATTTCCATTAGGCAAATTGTTTCTGCAGATCTGTCAAAATCGCCCCTTATACAGTGACATCTATTGATTACTAGTGTTATCAAACACGACATTTTTGGTCAGGTTTGTTGATTTTCATTGTCATGTATGTCAGTGAATCGTCGATGTCCAACGTAATTGAACTAAAAACGGTTTGTAAATAGTAATTTTAATCAATACTACTCTTGAAAATCGCCTTGAATAGTACACAAATATATTATAGGGCACTAAATTACAAAACCAAACAGTTTTATTGAAATGCTTACAAATTACTAAAGTCTAAAACGACAAGTACCTACCAAAACAACAGTAAGGGACTTATTAAGGAGCATAATTTCGTGAAAATATCTTGGACAATGCGATCACAAATGTATATTTACATTATTTATAATTTCAGTACTTTTCTATGTAATGGCTTTTGGCGTAATTGTAAATTCTTAACCATGTCCGTTTTTTCTAGACAAATATTGTCAAGAACAGGCTTCACAGTTAGATTGATAACCATACTAGACAATTTATCCTTGTGCAAGGGGCAACAAAATAACGAATTTTCCTTCAAATGAGGATATAAGCACTGAAATGCTTGATATGGCATTTCATATTTTAAAAAAGGTGAAATTTCTTGCACAATGTCAGCTATTCTCTTAATGATTCCAACAAAAGTTTCGTTAGGATATGTTAGACCTCCACGATCTTGCAAGAATATCAAACGGAGCAAAGGCCCTGGAAGTGTTGTGGAAACTAATAGTGATACACACACGTCACACTTTAATTTATCATTCAGTTTCTTAATTATGTAACCTGCTAGGAACGCTACTGACGCAGAATATATTGTATTGTTAGCAGGCATGTTTGTCTTCAAATTTTGAATTTTCATTCTTAACTGAAAAGGTAATACCATATCTTCTATATGTTGTTCTACTACCTCTCTTGTCTTTGATGGGGCTGTACTCACAAAACTCATAGTTTCAGAAATATTTGCCGAGGTGGAAGCCTTAACAATGCCACAACGTAATATTTGACGTAGGGCGTACTCCGCCGCCCTTGCGTCTGTTGCATCATTAGACCCTCCTCTCAGGCGTACATGGGAAAACATAGCTTCAACAGCATCTGAACTGAATCCCCTTGTTAAAACGTAGTAAAATCCAACTTGTTTCAGCAAGAATTTTATACAAAGGCATGTACTCTTGGCGGTGAATTTTAAGGCCTCTGCTGTTTCTTCTGATAAGCCAGACAATCTGTCTCTTGAAGAACTGCTTTGCACATCGTCGATGTAATTAGGAAGTGTTACATTTAACCACTCTAACCTTTGGTCTGATACATCTGCATAAGGTGCAACCGTGCTGTCTCGTGAACGGATATAATACGTTCTACTAGACACGTTGTGGATTTGGAAAAACTTATACATGTTTTCCAGATAACTAATAGTGGCGTCGACGTTGCAAAACCTCGGATCACCTGTTTACTTCAAAAACTTCAAAGATGCCGTTACTGATGGTGAAAATATTTGAATGGCTCGCAGCACATTCATTTTCTCAAAATTCGAAGGGTACAAATGCTTCCTGGTTAGGTACCTTACAGGTTTAACAGGCAAATCTTTTTGTAACTCGTACAATTTTTTCAAATATGTAGATGAAATAACACCTTCGGAAGAGGACATTTCCCTGTCTAAAAATAAACTCCTCGCATTCTTCACTGCATGACAGTAGTCGTAGCTCAAAAACAAAGGTATTGATGGCAGAACAGGGTGAGAAATATAATTCTGAAGAGATCCATTTCCCAACTTTTTAAAAAGTGCAGTATTTGCCGAAAAGTTATCCGTCACCAGTCTCAACACAATAAATCCACTTTCACTCAAAAGTTGTAAAACCGAAATAGTAAGCGCATGAAAATCATTTGTGGATAAAGATTTATGAAAAAAATATCCCGCTGGGATGGTATATTTCGTCGACAACCCATGGACAACGTAACACAACATCTTATTTGCGATTTGGGGACGTTGGCCTATTTCGTGGGAACCACAAGTATCCAAGCCATAAATATGATCATCAGTTCTACTATACTGGATTCTTTCTTTGACTGACATATCGTCAACTATTAAAGAACACACTCTTTCAACCGGTACTCTAAAATTTTGGACTTCAGCCTCCAAACGTTGTTTTATTAAGACATTTTGGCCTTTGTATTCACCAAGAAACCTTGATAAAGTACTTTTCGAAGGAACTTTAAACAAATTCGTGTGACAGAATCGGTAACCTTTCGGAGAGCAAAATCTCCATATAATTGACATTCTTATGGTTTGCTCAGACCATCTCGGTTTCTGCTTAAAGTGGTTTTTTAATAAATCCAACAGAAATGCCGCCTTTTCATCACCAGCTTCTGCATTTCTTACTAATTTAGTGATAAGCTCTACATTTGGAGAGTTTTCGCTTTTCTGTTGCTTCAAATCTTCAATTTTTGACAAACATTGATGGTATTTTTGTGTGGTTCTTTTCAATTTTTGAGTTAACACTTTACAGTGGTACCGCAAATTTTGAAGTTCTTTTAAAGAAATTAAATCAGCTTGTACATATTTTTCAAATCTGCAAGGCAGGACAGGAAATTCAGGTTCTGGAGATGTTTCAACCTTTAAGCAATATAATTTCGAATTTTGTAAAATAATATAATAATAATTTTACATCAACAGTGGGTACAGCTTCTTTATTCAGCCGGTATCTCCTGTTGACAAATTTGAGACAGCCTTCTTCAAAGTGATTTTTACAGATTACAGAGTAATCATTAATATTTGTTACGTCTAAATTAAGGAAGAATATGTGAATTTTTACATTGATATTCAATATTCAAATTTACCACAAACTTTATTAATGACGTCTAACCATTTGGCTCTTAAAGTATGTTCCGCTGGAAACTGAAACAGCGGAATGTCCGTACTACCACAAATAAAGCACTTTTTAACCATTTTCTTTAATAATGAAAGAGTTTAATCAAATATTTAAATTGACAATTCGTGGATTTGAATTTGACAGTGTTTGACAGTTCTCCGATAGATGACGCCAAATAGAGGGCGGTCATGGCATGCTTTTTAGGAACAACTTTTAGAAAAAATGGGACGGCCGTATTTAGTTAATGGAGCTGGCCGTGCTTTTTAAATTGAGTGGCGACATCTAAAAATCGTTGAGGCAACGACCACCGATGACGCATCTGACGCCTTAAAATTCGGGTCAAAAACATCAAAGGCGCCGACACGATTTGTGCTTACTGAATGATCTCTATACTGTGCTGTTATCGTAAGTTATGCAACGCAAATAACAGCAAAATTGTTGGTTGTAGAACTCATACGTCATTCTGACAAAAGTTTTGTGTAACAAAAGTTTATATGTGCCTTAAAACCTAAACCGATTATATATGTGTATAGTGTATATATATATAAAATCCATAAAATGAAACATATACCTGTGCAAGATTTAATTGTTACATCCTTCTGCACTGTAGGAGCACTATATGGTGCAGGGGGACTTCTAACTGAAGTAATGAAAACAATATTACCATTCGGACTAATCCTAGTTCTTACATTAGTATGTGCTGGCTATTTTCTTCGAATACCAACCCCTAACCCTGAAACTGTCGAATCTGTATTAGGAAAAGATCCCTTTCTTGTAACAAATGATGAAAATGCATATGTTATGAAGACTGTTGCACATCGAGGGGCTGGCTTAGATTCTCCCGAAAACAGCTTAATTGCATTTAAAATGGTGAGTTTACTGATGTTGAGTTTATTGCCTTATATGTGGATTGTATTTTAGTGTGCAGAGAAGGGATGTGATGCTATCGAATTTGATGTAGTGTTAACCAAAGATGACGTTCCCGTTGTTTTTCATGATTACAATTTGGAGAGAATGACTGACCTGAAGATGATGATTTCTGAGCATACCTGGTCAGATCTGCTTAATATAGACATATCAGTGAAACACATTTTTAAGTAAGGGTTTATGGTTTAAACAGAGTGGTTGTGTGAAGAATGGCTTATTATTAATTCTTTAATAGGGACCGTTTCTCTAGAACTAACATACCCACATTAGAACAGACAGTAACACAGTTGCTAGATTGTGGACAGAGGATGTTTATTGATATTAAAGATAACAACAGGAAGGTAAAGTGATAAAAAACCAATATTTTGTTATTTTTATAGTTGAAAGAAAATGAAATTTTAAAAACGTTAATTACCATTGCCATGCGTTTTTAGCAGATGAGACTTCCACGATTTTACTTCAGTAGCGCGCAATATTGTTTCTCTCAAGCGCTTCGACTAATTTTGCATGGCTCTGTTGATTACATTGAGTGAATAATCAAATTCGCGATTGTTCTAATGAAGTTACTAGGTGGTACTGTCCATCATTTTTATGTTCCTTCTAAATGTGGTTGTTTAAGTAACTAAAAAATGAATGTAATATCAAGTCTTTTAAAACATCTTTTTATTTTTAGATTGTAAAAATAATCCACAATCTCTTTGAACAACATCCACATCTTTACTCTAGAGCTGTTGTTTCATCCTTTTATCCTACAGTATTATACCTTGTAAGTATGTAATGCATATTAATAAATACACAATTTTCAATTATTATAAACAGATTCGAAAAGGCAATCCTAAAATCGTTTGTTCAATGGCGTGGAGGCCCCATGTGTTTGCTTATGAGTCCTACAATTATCCTTTAGGAAAGGGGCCGCGTAGGAGTAAAGAATGGTACAAACATTATTTTCTTGAACTCTGTGATGTGATCCATGGATGGGCTTTACCAAGAATTATATACTACTTTATAGGATTGTCAGCTATACTGCTTCATAAAGATGTTATCAATGGGTAAGTATATTCAGAAAAAAAAAAGAAACACCATTTCGCTTTGGGCTTTTGGTAGATAAGCATAATTTTTAGAAAAACAATTTTGAATTGGCGGGACAGGGGAGTGAGGGTAATCGCTTGGACAGTCAATGCTCCTGCTGAAAAACAGTATCTTGCACGCGTGCTTAAAATAACTTACCTTACTGATACTTTAATTGGTGAAGGAACTACCCATTCGCCACCATCATAAGTAAACTATATTGCAAATATGTATATCTCATTTGGGTTGTAGTTTTAGGGAGGCTTTTTTAATTGTATATTTTAGTATATGGTGATTGCAGCTCTAGTATTGCGTGTTTAATTAAAAATGTCATCAAGTTGACCTTGATTTTTTATAAACATTGTGAAGTACATATTTCTACATTGAAATCTTATACCTAGAATGACCTTTCCCTATACCTATGGTACTATACATTGTCCGGATTTTCAATATTCCACTGTATGAGGTTAGGCATTGAAATATATGAGAATCGAAAAAAATACATGAGTTTCTTTTAATAAACCCTTAGAATCGGTATTATATTATTATATATAATATATACATATAAGAGCGTGACCATCAAATTCATTGATGTAATTTCGACGAATCAGGTGGTAATTTGGCATTAAAGATTTAATTTCACTTCTATGAACCGACCGTAAGAGTAGATACAGGTAATAATACATGGTACAATAATATACAGTGCATCTTTTTTAAAAGTGACCATAAGGATTCCCATGTTAAATTTTAGACCCCCATGTTAACTTTTGTTAGGATGAAAACCCAGAAATGATTTTTTCGGTGAAAATAGCTTTAGGGTTCTACTTTAATTTCCACTACTACTTTTTGCAGTAAATTATTATTTTGCGCTTTAATAAATTAAACTCGACTGAGTAATATTTCTTTTAAAAACAATTGAAAAAATTGGTCCAAAGTTATTTCGACAGAACTTCCCTCCCCCCTGAAATACAATAAAACAAATTCAGCTTTTTCGAAAAATTATAAAATTTAGTTATGCGAATTTTATTTTTTTTATGAGAACCCTTATAAGTTAAAATAAAGATATGTATGTAAATGTAAACAAGCGTGCTGGGCGTACATTTCAAATGAGTTTTCCCTTAACAAAATTTTGTGATGACGTCATCAACATTTTTGCAAAGACGTATATTACTTTGGATAGGGGGAGTGTATTACTAATGATAACAGTATTGTATTCCCAAATTTTCGGGAGTGAGCCGTTTACGGTAAATCGACTCATTCATTAATTTTTATGAGTCTGTATAAGAAATTTAAAAACTTTTAATGCAACGACAAATCACAAGTATAGACTCATCATATATAGCACATTTTGGACAGGATTTATTGGGCAAAATTTTCAGATGACATCATCAATTTTTTGGGAGATTTTTTTTTTAATTTTGCTTAACGATTTACCATGCTTACGATAACCTTAAAATATTTACAAGATTTCAGATCAATAGATTTTGCAGTTTCAAATGTATATTGCAAAATATTGTTATTCAGTCTTGAATTTTTTCCAAAAATTCTGGATGTCTACAGTGAAAATTCGACACGGATTTACACACCACAAGTGCAGGAGTATCTTATTTTATGAAATTAAAAAAAAAACTATTATAAATGTTGGAGATGACGTCATCCCATTTTTGGTGGGGATGATTATCCAAATTTTAGTTGGCGTTTAACAATCTACATGACATTGCTAATATACATACACAATGTAACAACAATTGGTCCAGTAGGTTCGGAGATTACTTGTCTAATAAAAATGGATACAGACACCAGACAGGCAGGCACGCAGACAGACGGACGGAAGTTATGACATGTCGAGAATATATGAAAGTGGCAGTTCGACCGATCGACTCGATACTATACTTCCTTAGCTTACGCTCGGGAAGTAAAAAGGGCAACATTTATAAAAGAATAAAGACAACCATATAATAAAAATAAATTTTTTTGCTAAAAAATTGGCATCTGCAACAATAAATTATAAATTAATTAGTTTTCAAATTTGACAAGGGGTTTTTGCACTTACACGACATTTTATACTTAGTAAAAAAAGAACAGAAGCAAAATTGTCTTGAAAAACATTTTTTAAAAACGAACTTCCAAAACATAAACGGCCAACGAAGCAATAAATAACGAAACAAGGGAAAGCAGTGAACAAGCACGAGACACAGGAAGAAATGCAGACCCATACGTAAATTAGTAAAAGACATTTTTGTTGTTGTGTCATTTACTAACTCATCAATAGGAACAAAACTAATTAAAATACAATTAATAAATAAACAAATTTCTTTTCTACATTTTTTTTTAATTTTTCTTTATAATAGTTTTCGAGCGCTACAATTCTTTCATACAACTCAATTTTTATAATAATCTATTTTTATGTCCAAGTTTGAACATTTTTTCTGTAGCACTTTCTCGTGTTCTCTAATCGTCGGGTCGCGAATCTTTTTTTACGGCAACAGTTATTATTGTTCATCTGGGATTCGGTGAAGGCTGTTGAGGGTGAATGTGGTGGTTTTACTACATTTATTAAATCGTCGGCAATAATTATATTGTGCTTACTTGAGTGGAGGGGAGGGTGTACCATCTGCCACATTAAATTCGTCAGTGACATTGTTTTGATTGAGAAAAAAAGTTTGATTTCTGATTCCGCTGTTTTTGGTTGGCCTTCTATTGGCACATCCCCAATACCGTTTCTTTGAATTCCGTTAATTTTTCTTCCGAGTCTGATCCACCGCCTAGGCCAATCTGATGCTTAATAATGTTAGTTTTCTTCTTTTTTGCAATATTGCACTGATCTTGCCACGTCTAGAAAATTTAAGTCGATAAAACGAAATATTTTCTCGTTTCTTAAAAACTGGTAAGATTTACTTGACGCCAAGCCTGTCAGTCCTTCCGAGCCCCATTTGTTTGGTTAAGTTGTGCTGTCAGTGATTCCCACAATTGTTGAGCACTTTTATGGGTAAACGTGGACGTGAATTTTCCCCTTCGCAATTCGGGATGAGCACCCATAAAGTCAGCAAGCATTGCCTTTTGTTTTGTTCTGAAATTTCCCAATCTTTTCCGTTGTTCCATTTTACGTTGCATTTTGGCGGATTTTTTCAAAACAAATTTAATTTTTTGAAGTTTTTAAGTTACTATTCTAATCAACGGTACAACACATATTTATACGATGTAATATGTTCGTATACGAGAAAATTACGAATTCGAATTTGTGACATTCAAGAATTAAAAAAAAATTCGAATACGAATAAATTCGTGTGAATTCGAGAACTGGGCCCCTGCAGACTTGACTGCACGTGCCACATTCTTCCCCACACACTAGGAGATTTAACTGTACCCCGTGGCACGTACAGTTGCGGACAGAGAATTTCGTCCACACAATTCATGCGAATTCACAAATATTCACTGTAGTCGGTGCTTTATTGTCATGATGAATTAAATCAGTTCCGAAGCTGCCATCGATTAGTTATTTTAATGAAGGTAAAATAATATCCCTTTTCCAAGGCGCTACTGAATTAGAACTCAAGCGTGCAGCGACTTGTCTCCACACACACTCAGTTATCCCCGCGCAGTTATAACTGTGCATGCTAAAAATCTAGACAATTTTGATTTCAGGAGACTTGACTGCACATACCACATTCTTCCCCACACACTAAAATAGGAGTTTTAATTGTACCCCGTGGCACGTACAGTCAAGTCTTGACTTTTCCCTCTGTGTGGCCGCCTTTAGTAAAAAATAATAATATATTGTTCCACGAGGACGAGAGTTTCGGAACGAGTCAAAGGCGAGTGGAGGCACTCATCCGAGTGGAATGACCAATTCCTCACGAGTTTAACAGTATACTTTTTCTGCTCATATAATCAAGAAATTATTTTTATTTTCAAACGTCATATAACTGAGACTTATATGACGCTCTTACCGGGGTTTAAGTGTCATTTCTATGACACCGTGTTTGAGCGGCGTATAAGTATTACTTATACTCCGCCGGCGTATAAATAAAGCATTTGTACTCCGCCGGAGTATAAATGTGATGTCTGTTCAGACTCAGAGTCAGGAGTATACTGGTTTTATTCAGATATAAAGTATGGTTACATATGTACACAATAGGTAGGCAACACATCTTACATTAACTATATTACATCTCCCTTTCTTTTTATAAAACTAATACTAATAATAACACAATGACACTAATGTATGTATACAAGACATAAATTATTACTAACTTAGGAATTAACAAATTGGGGACCAAAATACTTTGGATTTTTCTTAATCGTTCTATGCGGTCTATTTTGAAGTGATATTCGATTATTCGGAGGAATTGGCACAACTAAGGTCGCATGTTGTTGTACCCTGTCTTGTTCTTCATTGGTACCGATATCATTCTCAATATTCGTTTCTATATCTATTTCCTCCCTTCTACGTTTGAGAAATTGTTTGTTTCTTCGTAGGGTTTTACCCTCCTCCGTTTGTATAAGATAGGAACGATCGTTGAGTGACTTCACTATTTTTCCTTTTTTCCATCGAGTGCCAGGTTTGTCCTGATAATATATAAGATTCTCTAGAATTGGTCGCTCTTTAGTACTTCTGTCGTAGTATTTCTTTTGTTTCTGTCTGGCTTGTTCCATTTCTTTATGAAATTTATTTCGCTCGATTAGTTGAGATTCAAGATGATGTTTGGATCTCGGTACGTTATCTCGAAGTAATCTTGCCATTAGAATTTGTGATGGTGTGTAGGTGCCATATACAGGTGTGTTTCGATAAGCTAGTAAGGCAAGTTCAATATCTGCTTTTGTTTCGATTGTTTTCTTTAATAGTTTTTTGACAGTTTGAATGGTTCTTTCTGCCATTCCATTTCCTTGTTGGTGATATGGAGAACTAGGGTGTATTTGAAATTTCCATTCTTCTGCAAATTTTTGTAGTTCTTGACTAATCAGTTGTGTGCCACTATCTGAGACTACTATAGCTGGTATTCCATGTCTAGCAAAAATAGATTTCAGATGTTTTATAACTGAGGTTGAGGTCATGTTTCTGTTAAGATTTGCAATTTCAGCATATTTTGAATAATAGTCTACTACGAGTAAATAGACTTCTCCATACAATTCATATATGTCAATTCCAACTTTGAACCATGGAATTTTTTCAATCTGGTGTAATATTAGTGGTTCTTTTGTATTGTTTCGACTATATTGTTGACATATTTGGCATTTGCTGACAAAATTTTCTATTTCTACATTCATGTTTGGCCAGTAGATTGCTTGGTTTGCTCGTTGAATGCATTTATTTATTCCGAAGTGACCAGTGTGAATGCTATTTAAGACTTTAGTGCGCATTTTGTAGGGTATTACTATTTTATTTCCTTTATAGATTAAACCCATTCCTTGGAATAATTCATTCTTGAAGTTATAATACTTTTTGATGTTGTCTGGTACTTTACTTTTGTTTTGTGGCCATCCGTTTTCTATGTATTGTTTCAGTTCTTGCATTTCCATATCTTCAGCTGTTGCAGTTATCATTTCTTCTAAGCGTTCGTCACTGATTTCTATGCGATCATTTATTAGACAAATTTGACATTCTAAGTCCATTTTTTCTTGATATACTTTTGGTGACATTGATCTCGATAAATGATCTGCAATAATTAGTTCTTTTCCAGGTTTGTATTTGATTTCAATGTCATATTTTTGAAGTGACAGTAGCATACGTTGAAGACGAGCTGGACAATCATTTAGACTTTTCTTAAAAATGGGTATGAGTGGTTTATGGTCAGTTTCCACAGTAAATTTTTGTCCATATATGTATTGGTGAAATTTTTCCACTCCGAAGCAAACTGCTAATAGTTCTTTCTCGATTTGTGCATATTTCGTTTGAGTAGATGTCATGGATTTTGATGCATATGCACAAGGTGACCCGTTCTGAATTAGCACCGCTCCTAAACCATTTTTGGATGCATCTACAGAAATTGTGACTGGAAGGTTTACGTTAAAAAATTGTAAACAAGGAGGTTGCATCAAAAGATTCTTCAATTCTTGAAACGCTTTTTCTTGTTCTTCTTCCCATGCAAATGAATTCTTTTCTTTTAAAAGTTGTCTTAACAAATAAGTTTTTTCTGAAAGATTTTCAATGAATCTTCCTACATATGTAATAAGTCCTAAAAATCTTTGAAGATCTTTCTTACATTTTGGTGATGGCATCTCTTTTAAGGCACTGAGTTTTTCTTCATCTATTTCAACCCCTCTGCCTGAAAATTTATAACCTAAATATGTAACTTCTTGTAGGCCAATTCGACATTTTTCTTTATTAAATTTGATGTTTTGTTCTTGTGCTATTTTTAACACAGCTTCTAAACGTTGGTCGTGTTCTTCTTTGGTTTTTCCGTGTATGAGAATGTCATCAATATAGACCTCTACTCCTTCCATTTGAAAAAGTTGTTGAAATTTTTCTTGAAAAACTTCACTCGCAGTAGTAATGCCAAAGGGCATACGTTTAAATTTGTAGCGGCCAAAAGGAGTTCCAAAAACACATAAATCACTACTTTTTTCATCAAGTGGAATATTCCAAAACCCAGTAGTTGCATCTAGTGTTGTAAAATATTTAGAATCCTTTAAGTTTTTCATAATTTCGTCTATGACCGGAATTTTAAATTTTTGCTTCTTAATTGCTCTATTGAGATCTTTCGGATCTAGACAAATGCGAAGCGATCCATCTGATTTTTTGACTATTACAAATGAATTGAGCCAGTCTGTACTACCATGTACTTTTTCAATTATTTTATTATCTTCCAAATGTTTTAGATATTGTTTAAATTGTTCCTCAATTGCAAATGGGACTTTTCTTATTGGGTGCGAAACTGGTTGTGCATTTTCTTTTAATTCGATGCTATGCGGTTTTCCTAGCATGCCAATGCCTTCAAAAACCAAACTATACTTCGCTAACAAAGTTTGATAATGATTATTTAGGTTAACAAAATTTATACGATTTATTAAGCCTAACTTTTCAGACGTACTTAAACCTAAAATGTTTCTGTGATTATAACCTTTTACTATAAAATATTCAATTTCATAGTCATTGTTTTGAAATTTAGAAGTAATGATACATTTTCCTATTGTAGGTATCAGATTACCGTTATAATCATATAATTTATTCATACATTTTTTTATTATTGACAAACTTAGACCTAATTTATTAAATGTTTGTAATGACATAATGTTAACATCAGCTCCTGTGTCTACCTTAAATATTAAATTTATGTTGTGTATTTGTAAATTTACAGTCCATGAGTTGTTTTTATAGTTTACACTGTCAATGGAAAATTTTATTTTATTGTCATTTTCTTGTTTTGTATTTACTTCATGCAAGGATTTACGTAATTTAGCTTTACAAACTACAGAAAAATGATTGAGCTTTTTACAGAAATTACAGGTTTTTTCATAAGCTGGGCAGTTATTAATTTTGTGTGATTTGCCACATTTATTGCAATTAGTGATGAAACGATCTTGCACTGACCTGTTGATTCTTGTTTCCACAGCTTGTTGATGACGTGTTACTTTTGGTGCAACTGTAGTCGTTGACCTTGGCTGCATTTTGTGTGATAACGTAGTTCCTCGTTTTTGTTGTATTTCATGAACTTGTTTTTGCATATCTTGACTCTGTAATTTTGTATTTTCCCATAAAATACAGGCTTCGATTACGTCTTGTAGGTTTTTGTTTTGTTGGTATAGAAGTTTTTCCCGTAGTATTTCGTCTTGTATGCCTGATATTAATATCGTTTTTACCATGTCATCCTTTAGATTTCCAAATTCACACTTGTTTGCTTGATTCTTTAATTGTGTGGTGAACTGTTCAATGGATTCTTGTGGGGTCTGTCTGAGATTAACAAATTTATACCTTTCGTATGTTACATTTGTTTTGGGGATAAAGTAATTATCAAATTTTTCCAGTAGAACGGCAATTTTGTTGCGTTCATTGTCTGCAATGGTGAAAGTATTATAGATGTGCAGGGCCTCTTCACCCATAAAGTGGAGTAGTTGGGCGCATTGAACTGCTTCCTCTTTCGTATTTGTTTCCGACGCAATTAGGTATGTTTGAAATCGTTGTTTCCAAATTTGCCAATTGACGGCCAAATTGTCGGTGAAATTCATCGGGGGAAGTGTTCTCTCCATTTTACTGTATTTTGCTTCTTTAATTTTGTTTAATTTGAAACAATTTGTCGCAGCGCCATGTGATGTCTGTTCAGACTCAGAGTCAGGAGTATACTGGTTTTATTCAGATATAAAGTATGGTTACATATGTACACAATAGGTAGGCAACACATCTTACATTAACTATATTACAATAAATATGTGAAAATCATAGTGGTTGTCAACCATAGTAACCATGATAAGTGAAATCAAGGCAATTTTTTAATGAAGCAAGAAGATAGGAAATAATCATTTCAAAAGAAGATTAATCGATTGAAAATAAAATATTGTATTTCATTCGGAGTTTAAGTGACTTCATGTGACTCGTATGGACTTAATTCGCCTCGCTATCGCTCGGCGTTTAATCGTCCATACTCGCCACATTAAGTATCACTTAAACTCCTAATAAAATAAATATCTATTATTAACATTAATGATGACGTGTAAACAAAACATACCCAGGGCAACGCATGGACGAGTTCAATTTTTATTAGGGGTGATAGTGAGGAATTGTGGAGAAAAGAAAATGTCGCGTTCTGATTGGACAAAAGCTGTGGAGAAAAGGGCTCATTCTTCAATCGACTGAAAAATGGTGAATTTTCTCAGTATGAGCAGAAAAAACGTGTTTTTATCTTTCGGTTTGAAGTTTTTGTCAAAACTTTTGACAAGTTAGTGTTGAGGTTGCTATGTTGAATGCCCCAATTGTAATTATAATAATATCCAGGATAGTGTTTCAAATTTATTCATGTTCTTTATTACTAGTGGACCACGCTGTAGATAAAAAAAAACTTCTCATAAAGCATTACTGCAGCATGTATTTTGTAATAGAAGTGGATATAAATGACCACATATGCTTATATAATAGTAGTTATACATTTTTACACAAGTAAATTAGATATACTTTTTTTCAGTTATACTAGGTAGGTATACGTATTGCACATTCATTTACACATTAAATGATTAGGTTTTGTATAATCCCAAGATATTTACAAATATCAGGCTTATTTTTCAGCAATAGACATATCACTTTTAGAAAATTGTGTTCAGCTTCTACTTGCAATGCTTTGTTGTAAATTCCATTGAATATTATAGTTGGAATGTATGAAATGCTGGGTATCACCATATTCGTCTTTCTTCCATTTTCCACCAACAAAATATCAGCTTCACCAGACGACAAACAACTTTCGATGGATTCCCATGATATGTTCGTTAAATTAGCACACTGAAATTATATATTAAACTAAAAGTAAGCTCGCATGCAACACCGGATTACCAATGTTAATGTTTCATTTGAAGGTTTTGATTTCATAGCGCAATAAATAAATTCAACGCTGGCTGCAATTGAGTTATGTGCGATAACACACGAATGGACTTTATTGTTGTAACATTCCACAGCGCCATGTTGGCAGATGAATTCCCAGTGACCTGATGAATTGTCAGCCTATTCAAGATACATTCAAATTTCACAATAAATTTCGGTTAAATATTTTCTTACCGTAGCAAATCCAAATGGCACTAAATCGAGATCTAAATACTTTCCTGCATCTTTGAAGGTGGGGTGCAATTGTTTTGTAACAAATCTCACACTGTCAGGACATAATGATTCATAATAAAGTGTAACTGGCAATTTTTTTGCCTACAATAATGTAACATTTTGAAATATTCCTATAGGTACCTATTAATTTCAAAACTTACGGTTGCGACTGTTGTACAGAAAATGAAAAATATTAACAACTTGCCGTGCATTTTAAAATTATAATAGTGGAAAAAAATATATGTATTATATACCAAAAGCAGAGCCTACACTCACTAGCATCAGTTTTATGAACACACAACAATCAAAAACAGCAACTGGTAAACGGTTCAAGCTGATTAGTGTGATTAGGAACAAAACATGACGAACTGGGATAAAATGATAAATAATGAGTTGTTTGTACTTGTGTAAAGCCGTCGCTTTGCTCGACATAATCACAAGCTTCACGACCTCTGAAAATAATACATTTCTAATTTTTCTTCCCAAGCGTAAGCTAAGGACGTATGAACTCATTGTAATCGACTCCACCGAGGCACTTGCCAGTGCCATGTGTTCTTGACGTTTCATGACTCCTAGAGTATGAATAAAGTGCCTGTCTGTCCGTGTTGATTTTTATTAGACCGATAATCTCCGAAACTAGTGGACCGATTGTTGTTAAATTTTGTGTGTATATTAGGAACATCATATGTCCTTGCAATAATGTTGGTGACACCATCACAAATTTTATAACGGAAAAACTCACTTGAAACAAACGCCTAGCATGCTTGTTTTCTTTTACTTTTAGATTACATTCTTATCTTTATTTCAACTGATACAAATAACACAAAAATCGCAAAATCAGATCTTTAATTTTTCGAAAAAGATTTGCTGTACTTACTTCCGAGGGAAATTCCAACGAAATAACCTTCGACCAATTTTTACTTCCTGATCGTAAGCTAAGGAAGTATTTATAGTACTCGAGTTCATCAGACGAAATTTTCTCGACGTTTCATGACCCCTAGAGTGTGAAAAAAGTAATCTCCCGTATCCATCTGTCTGTTTGTCTGTCGTTTGTGTCAATATTTATTTGACACATAATCTCCGAAACTACTGTCATGTAAATGGTAAAACGCTAACCAAAATTTAGGTAATCATTCGCACCAAGAATTTGATGACGTCCCCTCAAGTTTTCCTTCCCGAGCGTAAGCTAAGGAAGTAAAAAGCTCAAAATTTTGCCAAATAAATCTAAAATGTATAAAACATGATGAGTCTGTACTTGTGATTTATGATTCCGTTCATTTTTTTTGGATTTGCTTATACAGGCTGACAAAAAAATTAATGAATGCGTGAATTTATTTTATTGATTTAATCGGGAACTACAAAACCGAATGCTTTGAAATCTTGGAGATGTTTTAAAGTTATCATAAGCATGCTAAAGTTTTGATCAAAATGTATTTGCTCATCCCCCATTAAAAAATGATGACGTCATCTCAAAATTTTGCTGAATAAATCTTAAATGTGCAAAGTTTTTACTTGTGAATTATCACTGCATTAATATTTTTTATTAATCAATTTATTTTATTGAATAAATCAAAATAAAAATGTAATTTCAGTGAAATTATCTTTTATTTTCTTCATTTATGTTTGAATTCCATCATTCTGTTTCTTTTCTACAAACTGCAATAAAGGTATTTAATAATTAAATTAAAATTATGTTGTCAAAAATGATAAGTCAAAACCTTCTATGATGTACCAACAATTTTTAAACAAAATAATTTTTATTTTTTAAAGCACAAATTAACAAATTACTGCAAAAAGTTGTAGTGGAAATTAAAGTAGAACCCTATTTTCTCCGCAAAAATCATCTCCGTGTTTTCACCCTAACAAAAGCTAACATGGGATCTAAAATTTAATATGGAATCCCTATGGCCACTTTTAAAAAAGATGCACTGTACACACAAACCTCATTTGACATACACCTGTTAAAACTTTTATGACTTACGCGGCTTAATAAGTCAAAGCACCCTTATAAGTCAAACTGGCTATTGTAAGCTTTGTGGACCCGAACACTGAATCTTATAGCAACTGCTTAATTGCGTCATTGTAATCGCCAGTGGAATTGTTGTTTATTACAAATTATAATCCAACAATACTTACCACTCAGAACAACATGTGTTTACCTTTTTTTTTATTATCATTTACACCCAAGATTACTGAAGTATTGTACTACTACTCCTACTGGATTTTTCAGCAACGCAATTAACAATGAATATTGTAAGTATGAATTAACACGTTTGGTTTATTGCATAAGTAATCCTTTTTACAGGTGACGGAATGCTTAATAAATCACAACATATTAAGTTTTGTCTCGAAAGTTGAATTATCTGGATTCTGGGTTTCATTGAGGAGTGACTAGGGCATCGAGTCTTTACGAAAATAAAAGGTTTTAACATTATGCTAGAGAAATAAAATTAAGCGGAAACAAACATTGTGCGGTAGTATCCATTTTGGAAACACTTTAGTTGGAGCCATTTGTTCAACAATTGTCTACAGAAAGAATGAAGAACTTATTTATAATTCAACAAATTTTACAGGTAATTGTCTACGTACTTGACACTTAATACAGTTTCCTGGCAAGAGTTCCCTACACCTCCACGTTGGTTCTTGCTGGACAGTTAAATGAGTTTACAAATTTGTTTATCTATAAGTAGAAAGTATACTTAAGTAACCTTGCAAGTATTATTTATATTTTGGGACATTTTGTGCTTTGCCTCATCAACTTTTCAAGTCATGAACCGCCCCTGATCATCAGTCAATTAAATTAAATAAAAAGTACAGTTTTTTATCTTGTTCGTCAAGATCAATACTAAATATTTTATTGGTGTTTAAATAGTATGACTTTGGTTAACTGCTGTTTGATACCAGGACCAATTAAATCAATAGTAAACATTTTGTTGATAAGATGAATTTTTAAATAAAAGCAAACAAGAACAGCAATTGTTTAAAAGCGTGCCAAAAGAAATACTCGTTGATAGTGATAATACGAACATGCAACAAGCCAAAATTTAAAGTTGGCGGTCATGCCAGCCGCATGACGTCACACAAAATGCGTAGTATCATAGCATGTCTTCTTGTACCATGATGTAGATGGTAAACGCTAACCAAATTTTGTCTAATCATCCTCACCAATAATGTGATGACGTCACTTCAAAATTGTGTATAGTAAATGGATTTTAAATTGTATAAAATAACATAGTCCTATACATGTAATTTATGATTCCGTGTCATGGAGGTAGTATTAGAGAAGGGAAGATAGTTTGAAAAAGCACCTGATACCGGCGCTTTCAACTGGGATCACAAATGGCTCTTCCACCTCCTCAGAGAAACTGGTTGTTCCAGTGGCGTGCTCGAAAACGCTTGTCGAGAGGCTGAAGATACGATACAAAAATTAACATGTAGCAAATTAATGGTATTGATTAAGAACACATATATATTTGATCCATGTTAATGGTAAGGGTCATGAATGGGTTGTAATAACACAAACATTCCGCCAAAATTGAGACATGCGCACAAAATTTGAAAACCCGCGAAAAGTTCGAAAAGTGGCCATGAACTTTGATCGTAATCAAAATGGGGACCCTACGTTGTGTTTTGAAATGGCGGAATGCGTTCTGATGCAAGAGGTGAACCGCAAAGGTGGAAGAGTGACCTTGAAATTAACAACACAAACATATGGCCCCTTCCATTCTGCATTTACCTTTAGACACGTATTCTCCGAAACTGCTAGACCGATTGTTGTCAAATTTTGTATGTACTCTGAGGGACATAGAATCCTGGGCAGTGTGTTCTTGTCATTTAAAAAAATGTCAATGTAAATGCACCTTTAGCGTCAACATGATTGATATTTTCGAAAAAACTGTCAAATTAACTTTGAAATATATCAATATGTTCAACATGCCAGCTGTATCAATTGTTAACAAATCTCGAGCAGTAGCTCTTACTCAAAGTGGGATGTCGCAGCGGCAAGTCTCCGTGACTTTGAGGATTCCAAAAAGCACGGTGAATTTGATCGTGCAGAAATAGAGACGAGAGCAGACTGTGAAACGTCGTCCAAGCTCAGGAGGACATCTTGTTTCTACACTTGGCGAAAACGAAGCTTTGCATGATATAATCAGAGAGAGCCCTTTTACCAGTGCTGCCGAAACAACTATAATTACCAATTTTCCGGGCAATGTCAAAACTGCTCGTCGTCGTTTGAGGACAGCTGGCATTCGCAATAGTCCAGTCACTTTAGCATAAAAAAGGATCAACCTCGGAATGAAAGATAATAAGCTGAATTTTTGTATATACCTTAATTTTGGCGTTCTAGAAGTTGTCTCAAAAGTCTCATAAAATCTCGTGTCTGCGTCGTAAGTTATTCAAGGTCAAAAGTAAAAAAAAACAGTTTTTCGCGATTATCTCAGTTTCTATTGCTCAAATGATGTTAATGTCTATTATAATAATAATTGTAGAGCATAAAATTTGGGACAAGTTTTATTTGAAACATTTTTTGATGCGCTCAATCGTTTTTGAGATAGATTGAGGGCGGTGAGAGCGCAGCGCTCATCCATACGTACTGTAATGTAAGATAAAAAAAAATCGTAAAAAATGTACAGCTGCTGAATGAAGATAAAATTAATAGTTATTTAACGAGCAAGTTGGTTAATAAAGGCGATTAATAATCGAGATATTTAATTAATGGTCGAGATTATTAATCGCCAATTAACAGTCGAGTTAGTTACAATACTTTTCCGGTGATCGTAATTGAAAAACAAAAAATACTGAAAATTCAAAATATGAGTTATGCAACAAAACATAATTACAAGTGAAATTTGTTATGAATAAACATTAGTTGGATATGTCAAAATCATGACGGATGCATAAAGTGGATCGAAGCATAGAATACTTTGGCTACAAGCGTGCTATTGAGCCTTTTTGGGAAGTTTCGGAGAAAGATGCAACTAATACGGATTCAGAATACCTTACAACCAGCTTTCCGGCGCACTAAGCAACAGACTCATCGTAGGTTTTTTGGTAAAGCATTTTGCTTCTTTCTGGAAGTAAATTTAGTGACCCCACATTTGCGTTTTCTACTACCGGAAAAGTTAAAGAATCCATTTCTATACAATTTCCAATTTTGAATCTTGATTTGCGAAATTTTTGATATTCAGAAATATAACATTTCACGTAAGCACGTGTATATCTGGTTGCCTAAAATCATGCATTAATAAATACATCCATGATTAATAGCCCTTATTAATGAACGATTTTCGTACATAAATCATGCATTAATCGCCTCATTAATAAACGATCAAAAATATAAAAACTCTTTTTACTTCCTTAAAATTTACTTTGAATAAATTAATATAATAAGTATAATATATTATCTAATATATCTACTGAACTTACACATTTTAAAGATAAAGTACTTAATTATTTTTCTACTTAAAATCTACTTTCAATAAATTAAGATGGACAATAAGTATTTAATCTAAAGAGTTTTTAATTACACAAAGTAGGTAAGTATTGTTAAATGAATATATTGAAAAGATGTAAAATGTTATTAAATACAATGTATTAACTGATAACTAATACAAATTATTCAAAATTCAAGCTATTCACAGATATTCACGGTTGATCTTGCATTACAGTACATATGGATGAGCGCTGCGCTCCCACCGCCCTCTATCTCAAAAACGATTGAGCGTATCAAAAAATGTTTCAAATAAAATTTGTCTCAAATTTTATGCTCTACAACTATGATAACATCATTGGGGCAATAGAAACCGAGATAATCGCGAAAAACTGTTTTTTTTTTTTATATTTGACCTGGAATAACTTACGACGCAGACGCGAGATTTTATGAGACTCTTGAAACAACTTTTAGAACGCCAAAATGAAGGTATATACGAAAATTCAGCTTATTATCTCTCATTCCGAGGTTTATCGCTAATTTGACTGGACTACAACTACGAGCACACAGTGCTACATGTTAATATAATTGAAACAAATTTAATAAAACTTCAACTTTGTCAGTGTCAAAATGACAAATACGCCAAACATTAAAAGCGTGATTATGAACTTATGAGTGGCTAAGGTCTGGTTTAGAAATTTTGACTGTATGACACCTCTACCCAGTTTTCCGTGTCCCCGATGGTATGTTAGAAATATCATGTAGATGGTTAAATACTAAACAAAATTTGATGGCCTCATCCATAGCCCTCATCTCCAAAATTTATAAAAAAAGTTTTTTTAATTTTATAAAATAAGATACTCCTGTAGTTGTAGTGTATGAATCCGTGTCGAATTTTCACCCTAGACATCCAGAATTTTTGGAAAAAATTTAAAACTGAATAATAATATTTTGCAATATAACTTTGAAATTGCAAAACCAATTGTTCGGAAATGTTGTAAATATTTTAAGGTTACCGTAATCATGGTAAATCGTTAAGCAAAATTTATTCATTTACCCCTTCCCAAAAAACAAATCCTATCCAAAATGTACAAAAAATGTGAATATTTACTTGTGAGTTATCACCGCATTCATATTTTTTAGATTTGCTAATACATCTGGCTCAGAAAAATTAATGATCAGTTTATTTTATTCATTATCTCAGGAACGGCTCACACCATCTTCCCAGAAAATTTTGGGAATATAATACTGATATTTTTAGTATTACACTGCACCAATCCAAGTTGATATACATGTCCTTGCAAAAATGTTAATGCCGTCATCACAAAATTGTGTAAAGTAAAAAGACAAGTCGAAAATGCTGAATATGTTACATTGTACTTTAGTTGCGAGGGAAGTTCTGTCGAAACAACTTTCCACCAATTTTTTTGTTTTGTACTATAAAATGAACTGAAAGTGATTTTTAAAATACGATCGATTAGACTCGAGTCTAATATTCTGCCAAATTATACGTAAAAATCCCTTCTAGAGAATTCAGTAACACGACGTAAAGTTTTAGCATGTAAATCACTGTATAGAATTTCTAGTCCAAAATAGTAGTAGTAATAAAATAACGAATTTTATCCACTCAAAAACATTATCACACTCAGCTTCGTCTCGAAGAAAAATACATATTTATTTTATTACTCGATCAGAGAAAGATCGAAATTTAAGATTCCCTCTCCTTTGATCGTCTAGTCTAGAGCGCCCTCTGCTGCAGTGTTATAAAACATTTTTCATTCCCGTAACGAACAAACGACTATAACAGTAATTGCGGCAGTGAGGTTAAAAACTTTAATGAAAAGGCTACAGTTTATTATTTAAAAAAAATAACCTCATCCCACTGTTTGAACCATGGTAAGTACTCAAATAAGAACGCCTTGGGTATATTCCAAGTTCTGCCATTTTGACCGAGTTACAATACAATCATGATTGGCAATGATTCCACAATTCTTTTGTTCCAGGACGTGTTTTTGATGATTCGGAGGAAGAAGTTGACCATATTTACAGATGCTAAAGACACAACCACCGTCCTTGAACTGAAAAAAATCATTGAAGGTGAGTTTGGTAATTTTTTTCTACGTCAAACATAACCTATTTTTTGATAGGGATTTTGAAGATACCGCCGCAGGACCAACAGTTGTTTAATAAAGATAATGCTATAATGGTGGATGATAGGATGTTGCAGGATTATGGACTAACATCGACCACAGCTAAGGCCCAGAGCCCAGCGACAGTGGGGCTTGCAGTAAGGTGAGTGAAAGTGGTCTTCTGGCAAATAAGTATCTAACATGAGTATCATACAGAGAAACTGCCGATGCTTTTGAACACCTTGAATTGACCCCATATTCGGCTCCCCCTGATTTGCCAGATGTTATGAAATCCCAGGAAGCTAATGGCCAGGAACAGTCTTCCTGAATTTGTTTCATTCATGTGAATTTTTTTCTTACAAAAAAAACTCAGATGAATAAAATCCATGTTAATGTATTTACCGTTTGGTTATAACTTATTAACCTTTATTTAGCTATAGCCAAACAGTGGATATGTTAACATAAATTTTGTTCTCTGATAAGTGATTTAGCTTAAGAACTTTTTGGGTTTATTACGTTTGCAATAAACTCAAAAAGTTCTTAAGTTTCATTATTTATTGCATCAATTACAATATTTGTGAAATAATATTGTGATAGTTTTTTATATTAGGATATGTAATAACAGTGTTCATATGTTTTTATTGTTCTTTTTTGTAACATACAGCTTCTACAATATTTTGTATCATAGGTTAGACTGAAATTAGTGTATATGTTTAGCCTCTTTTTTTTTTTTCTTTTTTTGAAGAAATTTCAAATCAAGATTAAGTAAAATGTTTCATTTATGAATCTCATTGTTATTAATTCCTGTTCAAACCTTGAACAATAATAAATTTAATAACAAGCGGTAAAAAAGATTTATTAGTTATGAGATTTCACAAAGATTTCAGATTTTTTACACACATTAACTTTATTTTCTTCAAATTTTGTTGACGAAATTTCTGTAGAAGAGACCGAATTGCAACGCCTCCATTTCGCTCTGCGATTCTGAAACCAGGTCTTTACCTAAAACATTTCAATTTTGCTGTATGAATTAATTAATGTGTATACGATTACCTGCCGGTCTGTCAGTTTTAAAGAATCTGCCAATAATTTCCTATCTTCGGGACTCAGATATTTATGGGATGTAAAACGTTTTTCTAGGGCATCTGTCTGATTGGCCGTGAAACGAACTTGGCCCCCTTTTCGTTTGGAAAAGTAGCATAATTGTGGAAGAAAAGTGAGTGGGAAAGTGTGATAGTTTGACCAGGTGGGCGTCCGTGTATATATGTTTGGATATGAAATTGCTGAAAAAAAGTAATGTATATATAATTATACTTATTTGCAATTTGCAAGAGCATTGGTATATTTTTTTATATATATATACAGGGTTAGTCACGAGAGAATTACTTCTGAAAATTATTTTTACGCAACCCAAAATACGAATACCATGTACCATTTGATACTAACTGAATTTAAAATAAAATGCTTAATCCATGATTGCTTTGAGTTTGGCAATCTCATTTTGACAATTGTGGAAAAGGAGGTTACGCGAGTGTCCATGGTGGTACCGCAGCCAGTCGGAAATCTCCTCCGGCGCCGCTAATAAATTTGTCAGTGTGCCTCTTGATCTTTTGCAACCGATTAATCACGAGAAAATTATTTCTAAAAATTCCTTTTACGGAATTTTATTCAAAGGTTACAACACAAACTCAAACAAGTAAGTAAATAATTTAACTACTAATCTGTTGAAAATGTTGGGCATTTTGGGGGGATGCTACGGCTTTTTTGTAAATGGATGGCCGAAGAAGTCCAGAGGTTGCAGATTTGCACTTCGAAGAGGCTCTAGGTGACGCAGAGATGGCGAATTAACACATGCACATTAGCGGCGAACAACATTGGTAGAGCACTTACGGCTTCAGTATAGCCTAGAGTCCCTGTAGAGACTACAGGGACTCTAGTATAGCCCAGATTGATCTGACTGTATGTCGTCGATCCAATGGGGCTCTAAAGGCGAGTCAACGATGAAAAAAAAAAATGTTAAAAATTAATTAACGTCAAAGTGACACTGCCAAAGTCAAAGCAATCATGGATTAGGCATTTCATTTTAAATTCAGATAATATCAAGTGGTACAGGGTATTAGTATTTTGGGTTGCGTAAAAATAATTTTCAGAAGTAATTCTCTCGTGACTAACCCTGTATATATATATATAACGTTTAAGTTTAACACCAGAAATGTTTTAACTTTGAAAAGATCACCAACATATCACATTTTGTCCAGATTATCTTGAGTTAGCTATAAAGAGAAATATGAAATATATTTTATTTATTATCAAAAGCAGTGACATTAAATTTGCAAACGAATATTAATAGCCCATGTGCATACGTACTATACCTACAGACTCAGGCACCGACTTTTGGACACACGCTACAAAAATTTCAATTTCACAATAATGTGTAAATTTTCTTTTTACCTGGTCTGACAATTTCAGTGTCAGATTTTGATAACTCAGTGACGTCCTTCACAGTTTTGAAGATGCCACAACTAAATGAATTACAAAAATGTATTGTTCAAGCTAGACTAAGGGATGGTGCGAGCATTAAGAACATTACAAATGAAATAAATGTAGACAAAAGCACGGTGTTATTGGTTAAACAAAAAACTGAAGAGTAGTTCATCTATTCAGTAACTATTCGAAGAAGCCGATAAAGTAGTGCGATTTTTTTTGTGATTATGAATTTATTTGTAGAAAATGAATCTAAAATACAGTTTATGTTAATGATTGAGCTCATAGATTGAGCTTAAATGTCATAGAAAGGGCGAAAAAACTATCAAAAAATTTAACAACGGTCGTGACAGAATGTCCATGGTGTGGTGTGCCATGTTCGTGATCATCACAATGTATTTTTTGTACGACCATTGCTTTTTCGATCATTTACCGTACAGGTTTCCATAGCAGTAAGTTCAGTTTACGGGTTGCTACGACTAACAACCAAGAGGCGAACGGTAAGCAGATTACTTACTGTTCAGCTGAACGATAAGTAATCACGCATTCGAGATTTTTTTAATTTTAAATTCCATGCTTGTTCGACTTCGATATTTTCGCTTTCAGAATCACTCATGATTGATATTTTAAGCAAATAAATCACTCACTAATAGTCGCGGAAAGAAAATTAACTCGAAATCAAGCCAGATCAAATCTAAATCGACAGCGGTCAAAATGGAAACTGATTTTTCCTAACGGCGTGCGGAAAGTGACTAGTTTCCGCACGCTAACCCGTGCGGAAAGTGATACTTTTCCGCACTAGTGCGGGAAGTAAAATGTAAGTACATTTCAAAGATTTATTGATTAATGATTACAACTATTTATATTAAATGTAAAAACAATTTATATAGTTATTTTTCTCATTGCTTTCATTTCGATCTGTCTCTTCAGTGGTTTTCATCTCAAACACCTTTGCTGCCTCCTTTTGTTCAGATCCAACTTCAGCTTCGTTTTATCGGTGATAGTACAACTGTTACGCCAATATAGCCACTTCTGAAACTTTCTTTACTTGCTTTTCATTGCACCATGCCCAAAATTCCTTATAAGCCTTCTCATATCGGTCCTTACATTTTGTCGGTATTAGGTCTTGAATTGCATTCTCTGCTTCAGCAACTATATCCGAAGGAATAGAATCGCTAGAGGAATCTTTGTTTTCCATCTTCAGTTGGACACACAGAACACAACACGATTTAGGTATTATTGACAAATATTTTGCGAAAAACTTGTTTGTGTTTAAACAATTGCATTCGCAATACCTTGACTACTCAACGATATGCTTTTCGAATGTGCTGCGATTTAAAATTTGACGAAAAACTTAATTGCTGAAAGATTTAACAGACGCTGTTAGGAAAAACATTGTTCCTAACGCGCGCGGGAAGTACGATTCCGAAACTCGTGCAGGTACTCGTTTCGGAATCGCTGACTTCCCACACTTGTTAGAAAAATAACTATTTAAAATTGTTGTTTATATTAATCGAAACCATAGTAACAAATTTTAAATTAAAAAAAAGACCTTGTTGATGTTTGATATAAATTCTTTCAATTTATGAATTTGATAAAAAGACGCAAATCTTTTGATGGTCGTACAAAAAATTGTATAAGCATCACGAACGTTAAGGGGGTTTACTGGTCTCAGACAAACTTTTGTCTTCGACCAGTAAACACCCCTTACCGTTCTTAATACTTAATATACTATTGTTTCAAAGTTAGAAAATAATGCTCAAAGCATTAAGCAACGCAAGACTCTGCTTGAAACAGAAAATTTGCATTCACAATGACATGTTATAGAAAATAGCTTTTCAATAATACCTGAATCAATAAAATTTTTAGAAAGACAAAATTTGGAATTGTTTACCGCAATGGAAAAATTTTAATCGACATTATCTCATTTAAAAGATGTAAATTGGCCGTTTCAGGATTAATTTAAAACCAAAATTGACGCAGTACTGGCAAGAAATCCTGGTTTCTTAATATTAAAAGCAATATCCTTAAACACTGTTACAGATACTACTTTCTTAGAATGTACCAAATTTGTATCTAATTTTTTGTTTGCTCTAGTAGTGAAGATGTGGAGAGATCTTTTTCTAGACTCAAAGACGTTTTGACACCCAAGCGAAACTCATTTTCTGAGGAAAATTTGGAAAAATACGTAATTGTACAAGCTTATTTGTCAAATTAAAACCACCGACCTTGTTATATTATTGAAATTAAAGAATTTTGGTAGTTTATTTTAATAAACACTTGAAATTTACATCAAAGAATAACCCTGTTTGTCGCACGCCCATGTATTCGATGCTTGAACTTACTTCTTATTGAATCACGGGGGTTCGTGCAGTCAAACCTCTTAGGGGCCGATTTGACGACTTTTTACAATTCCGAAACAAATCCAGGCACTGGTGACAAATTACACTAGTTTACAAGGTTTTATATCCAAAGACAAAAATAGTTGAATCTAAAAGATTTAGGTTTGGGAAATTCAAATCTGAAAGCAGAAAAAATCCATCACGCCAGGTTTTTGAGATATTTATATAAACATACCCCATATTTCTTTCCTTTTATACAACTCTTGTAGGTAATTTTTTTATTTTTAAATATATATGAACATATAGTTCTTTGTGCAAATTTGTATCATTTTAAAAGATCATATACGTAAATAAATAACATGAGTCAATTTTTCAAGCTACTAGATTGCCATCAATGTTTTATTTAAAATTTTTCAAGTATTGATTTTAGAATAATTGGTTGTTTTTGATTTTTCTACGGGAAGTCATAAAAAAAATGTGAGGTTGGCCTCACAAAGATCTTTTAAAATGATACAAATTTGCTCAAAGAAATACAGGTTTATCTTTAAGAATAAGAAAGTTACATGAGTTGTATCAAATAAAAGCAACACCCAGTATATATATATTATAAACATTATGACTGAAAATTAAAAATGATTAACACTAGCGTTTCTTTTATTGGCAGTACTGTCAGTTTCCCTTATAATAAACCAACAGTAACACATTTTCGTCCCAAAAACCTTGATACCTTCTTTTTAAGCATATTTTGAACAGATCTTTCCGCTTTGGGTACTATAATTTTACCACAAACGTAACAAAACTGATTTGCACTTACTTTGCACGATCTCGAAGACATTTTTTATGCGACAATGGTGCATTAACATGAATCAGTTTAACACTAACGCGAAGGTAAAAGCAAAGTTCATTATTTTGGATTTATGAAAAAACCTTACGTGATAGGGATTATCCGTTTTTGGATTTGTTATCAGTAAGTAATTTAGAAGTAGAAAATATTTTTTTTAATTTTTGGATATGAAAAAAAGTTTAAATTTGTAAACTAGTGTTATCTCGAGTCTGTATACTTGGTTGTCTGATTATAACAAACTCTTGCAATTTGTTTCTTTCATTTTTTTGTTGTAACTTACAAAGTTGCAGTAAAATTCTCTACAAGCCTACGTATGTTTCACATCAAAATACTGTATTATCTTCACACAAAACAAGCTCTTGTACTTAAATTTTAAAAGTTATACTTTTTTTAAGAAAAACTACAACAAAATTTGGAAAATAACATTTTTTCTACAGAGATTTTTATGCGAGGAACGCAAATAAATATCTCCCAAAATGTTCATATGAAACTACAACTGGAAACGCAGTTTTACGTTATTTCCGGGTAAGTGAGGTTGCCTTAAATTCACAAGTCCAAGTTAGAGAAAAAAAATTAAAACATTCTTTACGCCAATTCGACGTTCACTTACAAAGATAAAACATAATTAATAGTAGATCAAAATAGATCAAAAAACGTGAAAATTTAGCTACTGTGTCGTCAGATTCATCCTAAACAATATTTAAATTTTTTGTAATGTTATGAAAAGAAAAAAATCACTGTAAAAAGATACGATACCTCCAAAATTATTTTGAATAATGAAAGTCCAATCAATTTCAAATATTTACCCAAAACAGCAATGAATTCAAATATGGTAAAATTTCGAAAAAAAAGCTTTGAAGGGCTATATCTCCTACATTTAGACAAAACGTTTTCTTAAATTGTTTTCCCTCTGCTCCATAATAAAAGACCCTGAACAAAGTATTATATATATCTTGGTGCACTATTTTTTGAAAATCTCTATGTGTGTATAATTAGGTGAGTTAGGTAAAAGGGCGGAATGGGACTATTTGGCGCGGCCGACTTGGCGCGAGTACGTCGGTATATAATATAAAAAATATTTCTTGTTCGTACTGTGGTTAGCACCACCAAACACTTATACCACAGTATAGATATATCTATAACTAACGTATATACGTTAGTTATATATCTATACTGTGCTTATACTTAGCACCCTGTTATTTATGCCAAATGTAGGCAACCAAATACACAGTTTCATTCGCACAAATTCCAATAATTAAATGATCCACGGAGCAAGAAGTTCCACGTTTAGGAGTATGTTTATAATGAGGTGCAGGGTGCGAAGCGCCCGTGTATCCATTAAAAAGTTGACATTACCCCTCCACCCTGCCCACCCCGAGGAGCCGCCACTGTCCATACGTAATTTTCTGATGCAATAGTAATAAAATCAAAAGATTTTATCCCTAATATTGTTTGATCATACATTTTTGGAACATAATTTTTTCCAATCGTAGTTTCGTCGAGAATATCATGTTTCATATATTTATTTAAAACATTTCTTAAGGACGGGTTGTTTAATTTCTTTCAAGGAATATAGGAGATATAAAAGCACCATAAACGTCTTCATAAATTGTTTCTTTTGATGTTTCAGCTAAATTATGCTTATGTCTTTCAGTATTCACGTGCTTTTTTTTGCAAACTATCTTTATCTCTGAACGCAAGACTTTTTGAACAAGTAATGCGGATAAACTTGTTTATTATTTACATATGAAAAATTGTAAAATTCCATATTTTATTAAAAAAGTAAATAAAAATGTAACTCCAAATGTAATTGTACGAAAATAAAAAGTGAATTCTAATTGAAAATACAAATAAAACGAAAAATTAAAATGAAATAATATCAAATTGTTCTAAGAAATTACTGAAATTCGTAACCACACTGCCTGATTAAACGAATTGAAAATAAAATCAAATAAACAGAAACGAAACCCAAGCTATTTTCAAAAAAACATAAAAAGTGTTAAGAACATAAAAAGTGCACAAGAACAGCGGGGAAGACAAAACGTGTTAATGGCAGTCGGAATAATGCGTGCTACGAGGGGCATGCAGTCCCCACTCGTATGCGCGCCAATGTATGACATACAATCCCGAAAAATGTCCGCGCACCGTTTATGACTCTCGGCGAGTGTAATCTTAATCCGATAATTAGTTGGGAACGAATAGTATCTGTTTGAATCTAATGGCCTCCTTTAATGAGAGATAAATAAAGGTTATTTTCTTCATTTTATAATTTTGCTGTATATATTACTACTGAGAAATTTTTCATCAACTCTAACAATTTTTTTAGTTGATTTTATATTAAAAATGTGAAACTAACGAAAAATGCAAACGATGTTACATATTTCACATTTAAAGAACAGACTTATTTTAACTTTGGCAACGTATTGTAAAACATTATGCTTCTGTTTCTGTATTATTCGTCCGACATACTGTATTTGCTGAACAGTGCGGGATTTTTTACGAGTGGGTCGGACAAAGAGAGAATCAGAAACATAGCAGATGTCCCAAATTGGTACAGTTTTACAACATGTTACCAAAATTTTTATTAGCGTACAATTCAGGGCCATGGGTCAGTTGCGCGCCACGGTAAAAAAATCTGCAGGCAGGTGGTTCTATCTCTAAGGACAGCTGCACTCAAACTATGTGAGAAGCAAGAGTCGGTTGTTTGTTGCGATCCAGAAGATTTGCATATAATTTTAACCACAAGTATAAATTCATAATATTTTGCATATTTTAGCTAGGATTCAGTCGGCAAAATTTTGAGAACACGTCATCAATTTTTTGGGAGGGGATAAATCCATGGATTTTAATTAATGATTTATCATGTTTACGATAACCTTAAAACTTTTGCAAGATTTCAGGGCATTCGGTTTTATAGTTTCAAAGCTAAATTGTAAAATGTTGGTATACGATTTAGGTTTTTTTTTCAAACATCTGTATGTAAAAGGTAAAAACTCAACAAGGATTCATAAAACACAAGTGCAAGTGCATGTTATTTTATAAAATTTAAATAACATTATGCTATTGTAAATTTTGGAGATGACGTCATCGTTGGTGGGGCTGATTAGAAAAATTTTTGTCAAAGGTTATTAGAGAGAAATTTCCTCGTCCCTGAAGTACAGTCTAACAAATCACGCTCCTTTGAAGATTTATGAAATTTGAGTTTATAAAATTTAATTTTTTGTGATAACCTCTATAAAAAGTAAAATACAGAACTACAAAGTTAGCTTAATTTGGCTACCCTGAAATACTAATTTCTTTAAAATCCAGTGAAATGTTTAAAGAGTAACAGCAGAGAAGTTTATTTTTTCTGACGGTGAAAATTATTTTTGATATTGTTTTTCGAAAAAAAAAAAGAATTATAGAACCACCAATCATCTTCAATGCGAATTCTAGGGCATTTTGATGTGCTTAATGGATCGGATTCCTCTTAATTTGACAGTATGTATTACTGTTGCTTATTCAGATGCGTAGATTATGCAGAATATAGTAGAATTTCCATTTTTTTTAATCTGTAGGTTTATGTAAACCCAAATCAAACGATTTATAATTTTACAAAATTTTTAAAATTTTTCGGTGTTTAAATATTCGCACTTAACTCTCAATTAAATGTTTAAATAAAAAGTTTTGGGTTAATGAAAAAAATTATGCATTCAAAATTTGCAGTCTTATTAATTTTTTTTATGAGAGCTCATAGGTTACTATACTCTGGATTATTCAGAGCTTCTTGTAAGAGTTAATAAAGGATGGATCTTTTACTAATCCGTAGTAGTCCCGTCAGTGATGTAAACCCATAAAGATTTATTTCGAACAAAAATTAAGCTTTGTTAGAAACAAGTACAAATATGTTAACAGAAAATCACTTAATGAAACTATTCATCATTAATGTTAATAACAAATTGACATATCTGGATTTAATGTGTAAGGGTTATTTGAACATATTTGATGGATGAAATTGATAATAACAACTTGGATTGTACACATAAGATTAGGAAATAATGTTATTCATTAATCTAAAGCAGTAAATAATTTGGTGATTATTGCCGAACACACTTCAATATCGAAATTGGCAATTTTCGACTTGAAGAAGCTTCAGTTTTGCGATTATTTGTGGAAACAGATTAGTTTGCCTCATTATCAATCAAATTATGGATAATTCTTGTCAGCTTGTTCAGTGAAGTATAAAATCGATTGTAGAATTATCACATTTTTTTTAGAATACGTCAACCTTGAGAAAATGTAACGTTATCCAATTAGTAACCACCGTGCGGATTGAGGTCTTCCTTTGGTCGTCAGTACGTGGCTAAACCCAATTAAAATTGTACATTTTCGGCGGAAGTTTAAATTTTTATGGTTAAAACGCGATAAGTTGGGATTTTGTGCAGACGAAATAAATGTGTTTTAATAGCAACCATTCTCTCTTGATGTATTACGTCACTTTTTTCTTTTTTAATATGGAAAAATGAAAGAAAAAACTATTTTTTTAACATGTTTAACATGAGGTTTGTTTTTCGATCAAAAAACTAACATTTTTCTCGAAAGTTTAGTCTTATCAAAAAATGAAAAATCATTACAACGTACCTTTGGTCCTGTATGCATCGTAGTGTTCCGGATTATGGTACAGCCTGTCACTTTGGTACCAACATCCATTGCCTCCAGCATGTGGTTCGCTTATAGATCTATAGTATTGAAAAGTTGGTCGGTTTAGTAAAGTTTTCTGTAAAATACTATTGTTTGCAGTCGAATAACACTCCGATTTTTTTTCACGTTTGTTGTAATTTTTGTCAGTTTCAAAGTAATTCACGTCCTTTTTGAGAATGTCATCAATCCGAAAGGACATTTTTTATTAAGTTTTTACACACAAAAACGATAAGTCGAGCGCTTGTGCAATCCCCGATTGTATTGACGAATTTGAGTCGACATTATTTAATAATTTGTTTTATGTAGTGTGAGATAGTGGTTTGGGTCGGGATTTACAAAGACCGCTTGGATTGGTTACTCTTATCGAATTGCAACGACGATTGTTTCCGTTTTTTCTCTCGATTAGATTCATTCGACTAGTCCTTCCTTCCTCACGGATTCTTTACTTGGATAATTGGGGGCACATTAGTTAGCCGTTTTGATAATAAATTGATAATAATTGTCTATTTAATGTCGCAACCAGTCCCATATTGTTTGGCCTTTCACCAATGTTTGGTTCTGTAATATTCGTTCATGGCGGAACCTCAACCACTACTGGATTTCAGAACGACTTTAGTGCAATGTTAGAGGTACATATTGGAATTTATGAAAAAAGAAACAACAATTAAGTTGGAACTGAAACAATGATCAAGGAAGCGAACTAATCAAAAAATATATGTTTTATTAACCAAAAAACCTGCCAAAACAAAAAAAAAAAACATGAAAAATAATTTTGTGGATTTGGTATCAACGGATCGTTGGTAAATTTCGTAAATAACATTGAAACAATTATCTATTGATTATATACAAAGTGTACATTTAAAAATAACTATATTTACGACATGAAATATCAAGAGCACTTAAGTTTCGCATCTTAAAATTTAATCCTTTTTTTACATTGAGCTGTCTTCATTGATGATATTAAAACATCTTATAAAATAACACTTAGGATTTTGGTACAAGTGGTAATCATTTCGTTTCATAGAGGGATTCACAATATATACATTACAATCTGCAATAAATTACGTGTTAAGCTTTAACAAGCCTAACGAGGTCATTGTTTAGTATAAAACACAACACAGGCAATGAAGACAGTATTATATAAATCATATTTACACACTCGTTTTGTTCCGCTCATTTGATTTTTTAACAAGCAGTCCGATCAGGTTTAGGTGTTACTAAGTTGTGGCCCTCTGAACTGTCTGAATCTGAGGAATCTCCGTCACTCACAGCCACTACGTTGTAGTTACAAGTTACTTTAGGCTTCTTTATTGATACCCTGCTGTAGCCTCGCTGCGCAGCCTGAATACTGTTTCTCTGAAAAAAAAACTATGGATAAAAATTCGTTTCAAAAGGAATTACCACGACAAATTTTTAGTTTTAAATATTATTATTAGTGACCGATTCTTGTCAAATTTTATATCGGTATATACTATGAATATTATGTAGATGGTAAAACGCTAACCATACTTTGTCTAATCATCGTCACGAACAATGTGATGACGTCACCTAAAAATTGTATGTAGTAAATAGGTTCTAAATTATATAAAATGATACAGTCCGACAAGTGCAGTTTATGAATTCGTGTTGATTTTTACCCGAGACGTCAAGGTTTTTGGAAAAAAATCAAAATTTTATAACAACACTTTACAATTTAATAATTAAATATATAGTGTAAAACCGAATGCTATGATATCTTGTGCAGGTTTTAAAGTTATTGTAAACTTGCTAAATTTTTAACCAAAATAAGTATATTTGTTTATCTGTCCAAAAGACGCAAAATTTAGGCGAATAAATTCTATCTAAAATGTCCAAAACATGATGAGTCTACAGTTGTGATTTACCACTGTGTAATATTTTTTAGATTTTTATAGACAGTGTGTCTCAAAAAAAATAATGATTGGGTCAATTTATATTATTGGTTTAATCAAGAACTGCAAAACCAAGTGTTTTGAAATCTTGCAGACGTTTTGCAGTTATTGTAAGAATGGTAACGTTTTAATCAAAATGTATCCATTTATCAACACCAAAAAATTGATGACGTCATCTCAAAATTTTGCGGAATAAATCCTACCTAAAATGTGCAAAATGTGATCAGTTTACACTTTCGTATACGTATATACAGCGCGTATTTTTTAAAAGTGGCCATAGGGATTCCCATGTTAAATTTTAGACCCCATGTTAACTTTTGTTAGGGTGAAAACCCAGAAATGATTTTTTCGGTGAAAATAGCCTAAGGGTTCTACTTTGATTTCCACTACCAGTTTTTGCAGTAAATTATTAATTTGTGCTTTAAAAAATTAAAATTATTTTGATTAAAAATTTTGGTACATCATCAAGGTTTTGACTTATTACTTTAATTTATCACTTTTGACAGCATAATTTTAATTTAGCTATAAAAATAGCTATTTATGTAACAAGTACAATAAAAGAAACATACAACCTTTATTGGAAGTGGTACTCTAAAAAGAACGTCAAATCAACGTCGGAAGAGAATATTTTGGCATATTTCACTACAGAGCTTCTCTCGTATGAAAGTTCATCATTATGGAGCTATTCCACGTCAATCAACCATAAATTTACATGAAGGAGTTGATATCAGTAAATTCCCATGTGTCATTGGTCATCGCATTTCTGAAGCGGAAAGGTGAAGGGTCAAACTGCTAAAATTAACGTTGCGGAAAAAATTCTAGGAAAAAATCTTTCGGAAAAAGATGTTCCTGAAGATATGTTTAGTTGTGGAAAAGCAGATGCAGTAATAGAAGCAAAAGCAGTGAAATGCGACAAGGAAAATATCCAATATATGTTTTCTGGTACTAGTTATGTTGTAAATATTAAACATTGCGACCATGCCTAGATTATTTTAGTAAGTTTAATTGTATTCACGAAAACTTTAATAAAAACAAGTGTAAAATAAAGTTGTTTTTATTGTACTAGTACCATAAAGTACCACATTACGGCCGCTAAATTATAAAATAAAGTAACGTTTATAGAGCAATCGGACATAAATTGCAGTTTTTAGAAAAGAAACAATGATGGCATTCAAACATAAATGAAGGAAATAAAAGAATATTTCACTGTAATTGCGTTTTTGTTGTCCACGATCGAGAAAACCTGTGTTTATAAATCTGCCATAAAATTTTTAAATTGTGCTCTTGCTGGATGTACAGTCGCGGACAGTGAATTTCGTCCACGCGAATTCAGAAAAATTCACTGTAGTCGGTGCTTTATTGTCATGATGAATTATCATGATGACTGACGTAAATATTGTCAGATTTAATTTAGCTCCGCACCTGCCATCCATTAGTTATTTTAATGAAGGTAAAATAATATCCTTTTTGCAAGACGGGATGTCGCTATACTTTTGGGCTTATCGCGGACTAGTGTTAGTTTTCGTATAAAACTTTGATCCCCATCCAGGTTGGTGAAAACCATGCGCTCGTTCAAATTGTGGAAGACATGCCATTTACAACTGCAATTGAAGCTGCAGATCATCAGCAATGACTGCCCGACGACGCATTAGGGAACGAGGACTTAGAAACCATACAGTATAGAGATTGGGTTTGTTTTACAACATCTCATGTAGGTTGAAGGGCTTTGGAGTTATTTTCTCAAACGACAAAATTTTTCAATCTTACCAAATGGCAAGTTAAAAGTATACAGGCCTCGAAACATATAGTGAACCAAGACCTATAAGGTTATATGGCCATGACTCATCCTATTTTGCACATTTAAGGTAGAAAAAAAACTTTGTGGTGACGTCATATTTTTTAGGATGGATGAGCAAATACATTTTACTAACTTTAAAACATCTACAAGATTTCAAAGCGTTCGGTTTTGCAGTTCCTGATCATCATATTTTTGACATTTTAGATAGGAATTATTAGGGAAAATTTTCAGCTGACGTCATCAATTTTTTGGAGGGGATAAATAAATATATTCTGATTAAAAATTGATTAGGGTTTTCATAACTTTAAAATATCTGCAACATTTCAAAGCATTCGGTTTTGCTGATTCAAAATTGAATTGCAAAATGTTGTTTTATAATTTTGATTTTTTTTTCCAAAATCTGGACGTTTCGGGTGAAAACTCAACACGGAGTCATAAACTACATGCGTAGGACTATGTTATTTTATACAATTTAAAACCCATTTATTATGTCAATTTTGAAGTGACGTCATCACAGTATTGGTGGGGATGATTAGGCAAATTTTGGTCAGCGTTTTATCATCTACATGATAATCCTATTACCCAGTGTCTGGAAAATGGCGGATTAACTCTGCGGTACGCTCTTAACAATCAACTGGTGAGTCTGGGAGAAATAGTAAAAAAAAATCCTTTTCACATTTTGGTGGAGTTATAATGATTTTAAAATTGGTTCTTTTCCTACGTATAACAAGTAAATAACACATTCATTATCACAATAAGTAGTAATTAAACTTTTAGTTAACTTTTCTCTCGCTCATGACCATGTTTAATTACCATTTCAATTAAAAAGTACAAAGATATGGTTATGTTGTTTTTGTAATAATTTGATAAAATTCCATTTGACAACAATGTTTACCTGATAGAAAGCGAAGGTACAAATCAGCAAAAATCTATACATTAGAGATGTACCGACTACAGTCGGCCGACTGTTTATAAATGCAACAGACAGTGGTTTTTTTTTTCTATTTCTCTGACTACCTTAAAAACTTGTTTTATTTTAATAAAAGGAATAACTGAAGTTTTTTTTTTCCAAAAAATGTGTTAAATTTTTTTGGATAATTTTAACATTTAATTTTTTGTAGTAACTCAGTACAAAAATAAAGAATAACACAATTTAGGGCAGTTTATACAATACTTAACCAATTTTAACCACTTTTTTGGAAATTTTGAATTCGCTCTGCGTGTTTATTGGACCATATATCGTGACGGCGATTTCAGAATCGTAACTAGCGGAAGATTATCTACACTTTGACACCAATTTTCGGTCGATTAAACTAATTTTAACCGGTTTTGACAAAGCCGACTAGTCGGCCGACTGCAGTCGGTACATCTCTACTATACATATATATTAAGTAGTTAAAAATGTTTGAAATGTGTCGAAAATTGTCAAAGTTTTCAAAACCCTAGGTTTAAAATGTTCGCAGTTAATGAGGATGCTGGTGTGTACCTGCTGGTCTTTGACGAATGCGAAGGGAATGCCACTCTTGCCGTACGAGTTTATACTGAGTGTTATCGGGTAAGAAGGCATCCCACGCTAAATGAGATTAGGCAACTGGACGCAAGCTAGAGGGAAACAGGCAGCTTGTTTATCCCCAGTTTCATGCTTGAGGTCGTTCTAGGACCATACGTACTTCAAAGTTAGAGAAAGATATTTTACATTTTGTGCCTGACGATCGGACAAGAAATGACCGGACCATTGGCATAGTTGGGAGTGTATGTAGATTACGATTTACCTTTAAATTTTGTGGACTTATCATTAACTTCTACAAAAAATGATCAAAATTTGATACGAGCTTACTTACATGCACAAGACAGAAATTTTGAACATCTTCTCCAGTGTTTTGTTGGTTATGCTTTAATGCGTTTTTCTTTTGGTTTATTTATTAATGAAAAATAACAGTTTATTTTATTTAATAATGCACAACGATTAATGACTACTGGTTGTTATGGTTATTGCTCTAATAAAAATGAAAGGTGGATTTCAGTCACTATTGTTATAGTTTTGGAAATTTCATTCTACCCTAGGTACAGGTCGAGACTAACTCATCTCAGATCAATCGGTTAGGGTGTCGGATCAGACCGCCGCGCCGACAGGGTTAGTCCTTGGAGGAAGGGTAGTCTGACCACGAGTAGCCTCACTTGTTGAGGCTGAGTACTGCAGGATGAGCTTCCCTGGGGGCTATATCCTTTTGCTAGCCCTGACGTCGAAGTTCGACGTCCTTTTGTTGAACTCCGTGGTGTGGGGACGCAGAAGAACGAAATCATAATCCAAAGATACGGATAACAAAACGACAAACAAACACACTGAAGAAGGGCCTTCGGGTGCACCTCAAACTGGAAACCCAGCCATTGTGGGGTTGCAACCTTCTAAGAGGAAGCGAATATTCGGGGCTGAAGTAAAAAAGCGAAGGATGGCTCGCTTGCAAGCGTAGGCGGCAAATGCCGACCCGTCAAAATCGGACCCATCCTCCTCCGGGATAGACTCCAAGGGCAAAGGGCAGGCTACGACAGCCAACCCAAAACAACCCGGGGGAAAAAAGACCTCAGGGTCAAAAAAGAGAGTGCGGTCTTCAACTTCCATACCTCCGGCAGCACAAAAGCAAAAGAGAATGAGGAGGCACGAGACCACCTCTAAAGAACAGTAGCAGGTAGCCGCAAGTCATTTTCGTGTAACTGTGATTGATGTACAGTATCCACTCGGCAGCTGACTGGTGACCAGGTGGAGTTGGTACAAAATGGCTTGATGGGAGCACTGGACAGATAACTTGAACAGTGCCTGGCATCGAGAAGACAAGCAGCCACTTTCAGGGGCATTAAATACACAGAGGAAATCTTAAAGATAACCTGTGAAAACGAAGTGTCTCTGGAATGGCTAAAGTAAACCGTGCGCTCTCTAACACCCTTGAGGAAAGTCGCACAACTTAACGTAGTCCCCTTGGCTGAGCTAACACGACTGGTGAGGACGACCCTGTGGATACCGGGACCACCGGTGGATGCAGAGGTCGCAGTTCATCGCCTGGAGGGTCAGAACCAATGGCCATGCGTTAAAAAATGGCTTCTTTTCCACCTCGAGGCCAAGCTCGAGGCTGCCTCGCCAAGCAACCTCTTTGTGTTTGGTCTTGGGATGGGTGAAGCCAAAACAATCACGGAGAACGAGACGTCGACTTAGGAAGGACAGATCCCTATGGAAGGGGCAGAAACCCCAGGGGGAGTGAGCAGACTACGTCCTGTTTTGGTGCCAATGCTTCGGGCGTGTGTGGCTTTCAGCTACATATCGACTGCATGGCAAAAAGTAAAGGTTATCTTTATACCTAAGCCAGGACGACAAGATTGCACCTTGGCTAAATTCTACAGACCCATTAGCTGAACATCATTCTTGCTGAAAACGCTAGAAAAAGACTAAGCTAAAAAGAGATTCGGAAGACTGCCTTAAACAAGCAACCTCTACATCCGAACCAACAAGCCTACATCCCAGGAAAATTCACGGATACGACCTTAAACAAAGTTGTAAATCGTATAGAACAAACTCTCCACCTTAGAAATGTTCTTGGATATTGAAGGAGCGTTCCATAAAACGACTTTCAAAAGCATAGAACTAGCCCTACAAGAGCACAACGTGAACCCCACCCTGAGTAGGTGGATGACTGGTATGCTGAGGAAAAAGGAAGTACTGAGTAGTAGGTGGCACTGAGATCGAGGCTGTTGTAGACAGGGGATGTCTCCAGGGAGGAGTACTTTCTCTTGTATTGTGGAACACTGTCGTTGACAGCCTGATACGACCTTTTTAGGGCAATAACCATAACAACCACTAGCCATTAATTATTTTGCATTGTTATTAATGAAATAAGCTGTTATTTTTCATTAATAAATAAATAAAAAACAAACATTTAATAAGACAACCATAAATTATAAACAAAAATAATAATAAAAAAATTGGTCGAAAGTTATTTTGGCAGCACTTCCCTCGCACCTAAGGTGCAATGAAAGATATCCAGCATTTTCGAGTTGAGTTTTTACTTTACAGAATTTTGTGGTCATTAACATTTTTTCAAGGATACGTATATTAACTTGGATTGCTGCAGTGGAATACTGTAGGTAAGCGAAGAAAAATATTGCTGCCTCGGTGGGAATCGAACCACACGCTCCCCGCTTTCCGGGCAGGTATCATGACCACTGGACCACGAGGCCGCTTATCTTTCTCCGCTTACCAACGTGTTATTGTGCCGCCACAATACTAAAAATAAGAGCATTGTATCAAATAATAAAATAAACTGATTAATTCATTAACTTTTTTGAGCCACCTGTAACAGCAAATCTAAAAAATATTAATGCAGTGATAAATCACATGTAAAAACTCATCATATTTTGCATTTAATGTGGCAAAATTTTGAGGTGACGTCATCAATTTTTTGGGGGGATAAGCAACTGACGGACGGACGGACGGACAAATGGACCGACCGACCGACAGACAGACGGAAACGGAAGACATTTTTCGTTCTTCCATGACCAATCGAGAAAATCTGAAAGCCAGTCGCCCGATGGACTCGATTACGATACTTCTTTAGCTTACGTTCAGGAAGTAAAAATGTATGATTGTAACATCAGGCTTAACCTAACTCGCTTTCTATTTCTTTTTCTATTCCTTACCTGTAAAATTATAAAAACTGTTATAAAAAGTATAACAATACAAAGAACGGCGATTATTGCCAACCCCGTGATGAAATTGAATGGACTGATCAACTGCAATGTGTTCACCGGTTGAGCAGACAGCAACAACGCTTGCACATCTATCCGTCTCTTATCCTCTTGTACTTTACATCCTGAAATTTATAAACTTAAAGAACACCTATACTCAGCCATTTTCAACGTACCAATACAATTTCGGCAAGAATAATGGCACTTTTGACATCCATATTCTGTTTTGTAGTATCCTTCGGGACAATCCGGTCTACATTCTCCTGACAAAAGTTGCCAGCCTAATGGACAACTAACGCACTGATTGTGTCCTGGGCCGCTACATGTTTTACAACTCATGTAGCACCTCGAACAAATCCCTTTGTCGCTGTAGTAGCCTGAGGCGCACGTGGAAGTGCACTCACCGCCTTGTAGCTGAAAAAAAAAAGGAACCATATTCTAATATGGTTCTGTAGAATTCTCCTGCATACGGACCTGTAGTCCTGCTATACATTCGCTGCAGTTGGTTTTCGAAACACATTTCGTGCACGTGTGGAGGCAAGGTTCGCAGAGACGTGTCCCTTTGTCGTGGAAGAAGCTTTTATCACAGACTGCGACACATCGCGTGCCTTGTAGGATGAGGGGGCTGGCGCAGGAAAGACAAGCGTGTTCGGTAGGGCCATCGCAGGATTCGCATGTCGAATGGCACGGTTTGCAGAGTCCTCCGTCGAAGTATTGGTCTAAAAACATGTGAAATGGATTACAACGTAATACTAAATGATTTATCACAAAAAAAAAATTCTAAAATCATCCACCCAACAGCTGGATGACTCAATCTAGTATAAAAGAAGGCAACTAGAACATATTTGGCAGTAAACTACACGTAATGGGGAAATATACAACCGGCAGTAAGTGTAATAAAAGCACTTTTAATTATTGGTTGTGAATCGATACCATTTTTGTTAAAATTAACAATTAAATTATTACAAGAAAGTATTTTATTATATCGAGAGAGCAATAAAAACACAATCAAACGCAGCCATTGATCTGATAGTTGGATTTTCAGCTCAAACTTTCAAATTTACGGTAACACAACAAAACAAAAATTCTATCGAAAACAAATCTTCAAAAATCCATACATCCTCAATCTTTTTATGCTTCCGGCTTGGCCAGAAATGTATGTAACTTATTTTTGTTACTACTGTTTTTCAATAAAACAGTCGCAGCCAAAACTTAGTGACACAGAAACGTCCTTTGTGTCAAAATTTTCAGGTGATTTTACATTATAACCTTTATGGAGATCTAGTAGTTTAGTCAAAATTCAGTGTGGTAAAAATTTAGGTTAACATCATAGCGTCACTTAGGTTTAGTATTTCAGATCTCGGTTAAACAATACAAAAAAGTTAACAAAGAAAAAATGGTCTTTGGTTATTTACACATATCTTCTCCCGATCCTGAAGCACAGACGAACAAATGCAACCCCGATAAGTTAAAAAAACTATGTGTGGACTGTTAAACTGCAGGTATTAAAGGTTATGTGTGTGTTTCAAGTGAGTTTCCGATAACAATATTTTGTTATGACGTCATAAACATTGTATTATATGACCAGAATACAGGATGTTCATTTTATTTGTGCATAGGCAACCCATTTTACGTTTCCATAAACAGCTTTGATTAATTTTTATTTTTAAATAATAATGAACGCATAGATAGCAATGATCAGAACCAAAATTATGACAAATTATTTCGGCCAGCCAAATATTTTCAATTTTCGTTTGCTTTAAAATGTTATCGAATTCTGAAAAAACAGACATGCTATTAATATTAGGAAAGTGTGACAAAAATTTTGATGCTGCTGTTCGTCTTTGCGCCAGGCAATATCCCAATAGAAGAACTCCCTCAAATCAAGCGTTTAGAAAACTTGAAAAAAATTTACGAGAATTTGCGCAGTTCAAAAAAAAAAGTTAGAAATCGAATTGTAACAACGCCGGATCATGACGCTGCTCTAATTGAAATTGTAGCAGAAAATCCCCACGTGTGTCAAAGACAGATTGCAAGACAAATGGAGATTAGTTTGGGTTCGGTTTTTAACATCTTAAAAGGAAACCGATTTCATCCATACCATGTGACAATTGTCCAACATTTAACAGAACTTTTGCTAAAAAAAGTGGTACCAGGATAAAACTTTGTATTACATTCTTGAGTAAAATGAGACTATCTACTAGAGAAAAATAACCAATTCGACCTACCGGTCTCTCGTGGATAATCTCACTGTATTAATAAATAACTATTAATCACATTGCACTAAAAAAAATCAATATAATATTTCAAAACTTCAAAACTACAAAAAACTTCTAAGTGTAACTATAGTTTAAAAACCGTCTTTCACACTGGATTATGTTTTACTACTATATACAGCAACTTCTGCAATTTTATTTTAACTATTAAGTCAGTAACACACGCGAAGAGTTATTTAATGTTCGTTTACCACACTTGTAAATTGTCAAGCTGTCATCGAAGCCTATAACATACACGAAGTCCAACGAAGACTTGAAACATGTATTATCGAAGAAAGATTCATAGTGCATTTAACAACATTTTTATAATTTGCGGAAAGAAGTATTATATCGACAATTAATTGTTAACACTGCTTCTTGTGTATTTACATTAATATGAATTTGTAACTTTTTAATTTTGTGTGCAGTTTTAATTATTAACTTTTTTAGATCCGTGATGACGAATTAATACGGATTTAAAATCAACTTGAAATTGGCCCTTTAGAAATTTATTTTTTGTCGGTATTTTGGGCTATAGATTGAGTTAATGAGCCTTAATAGTAATGAATTAATGAGTTACTTACCCGTATCGCAGCGATCACTTCCGTGCGGCACGCACCTTCCCTTAGTGTTCACCTGCCAATCGTCTAGACATGAAATACATGTAGTTTTGTTGCATTCCGAACATCCCGGTGGACATTCGACACACTCGTGTTGATGAGGATCGGAATAATGATGAGCTGGGCATTCCTTGACGCATCGGCCTTCGTTCCAGAACCTTCCTTGACCGCATGATATACACTGGGAACTATTCGAGCCGTTGCATGTCTCGCACGTTTCGTGACAAGGTGCACACCTAATGACGACAAGGCATTTTAATAGGACATGGTGCTGAAATGAGGTAGCGAGGATGCATTGACGCTTTTTTTTGTTATCGTGTCGCTTCTTGTGCGATACCGCTTCAATGGCCCTGCAAGACTATCAGAGATAACTTCATGTGAAAAGTTCTACGAAGTTATTTCAATAGAATATGGTGCCGGGACATCAAGAAGAGATTAGCAGAGCGTCTGAGATCGTTTGGTCTAACTTTTCTATACTTACGTGTAGTCTTCAGTTTCGTAAGTGTTCTCGAGACATGATGCCAGGCATTTGTTCTGGTAGAGGAGTAAGTGGTGATCACAGCTTGTGCAATGATCCGGTCGATCTTGACATCCGGCGCAGTTGGGTTGACAAGGGGTACATGTTTTTGCCACGTAATCTATACAACAAGCAGAATCTATCATATCATTTTATTATTGAACATTACTCATTAATTTAAATACTATTTTTAAATAATTTTGTGACACTTATTAATGGAGAGGAACACTACATACAACGTAAATTGTGTTTTATTAGTTATACATACAAGACGATATAGTATACATTTATTGACACTTCGAGCATCGATTTAATTAATGTATCGTTCTACATTAATATTTTTGGTCAAAATAAGAATATCCCTAATCACATACTCTTTTTAATTTGCTGTCAGTTTGGCCTGCTTAACGAACAAAGAAATTAAATAGAAATGAAAGACAGGAAAAAGAAATGTAAAAAAACTGTTTGAAGTATTTAGAAAACTTGGGAAATAGTATGAAGAAAAGCCGAAGCGGAAGTACAAGAAACCTTTGAAAGTTTGCGGGTTTACAATCATGTATTGGTCTGTAAATAGGCGCTTTGTTCAGTGTACGTTATATTCGCATCAACGTTACTAAATATTTAGTATTATATAGTTACGAAGTAAACTCATACCACCCTCCTTTCCGGATCTTATTCCATGTGGCAGATCTACAACAAGTTCACCCTAAGAACACACTAAATTAAAGAATTACTTACTAAGCTTTCTTGTACAAGCAGGTGTTACAGAATTACTATTATTTAATAAATTCATAAAGTGCTGAAGTTTTAAAAAGTACAGAATTCAACACTTCATATAGAATAACGTAATTCTATCTGATAAGGAAAAAAAGGAGAATACAAATTTGAAGAAAAATGTAAACTGTAATGTAAAATTAGAAGGCCTATGCATTTTTTTTTGTCAGTATGTAGGAAACAATATGAAATATAAAAATGCTTACAAAACATATTCCATTTCATTTTTTTTTTTGGGAGGGAAGCTTTTGGGATTTGTCTTTCTCTATATTTTGTGAGCTCCTCTGTCCCTCGGCTGCCACCAATTCGGTTAAACCTTAAGATCTATTTTTGACAAATTGCATTTTGGCTCGATCCACTGCTGAAATCCATGGCCAACTACGCCCTTAGAATCATTTATAAAATCCCTGTATTATTGTCTTTGCCATTTCTATTGAAACATCACCTGTTGATTTTGCTTAAAATTTAGCAATTGGTAACAGCGTTTGGTTGATTGACAACGGCTTTTAGTTAGAAAATTGGGTGAATATGAACGTTGCCAAATTTACGATTAACAAATGGTATACTATATTCTTTGCCATTTCTATTGAAACACCATTTGTCAATTGTAAATTTGGCAACGTTCATATTCAGACAATTTTCTAACTAAAAGCCGTTGTCAATCAACCGAACGCTGTTACCAATTGCTAAATTTTAAGCAAAATCAACAGGTGGTGTTTCAATAGAAATGGCAAAGACAATAATACAGGGATTTTATAAATGATTCTAAGGGCGTAGTTGGCCATGGATTTCAAAAATTTCGCGTCGCTGAAATTATGCCCGTGGTTATGCATCATTATGATAGTTCTCGCTTGTCACACTGATGTCTAATGTCATTTGTAACCTGTCATTAAAAGTCGTCCTTTTTATTGTTTTAATGTTTTTCAAGTGCGAATTACAGTAATTCTCGTTGACCCAAGCTCAAAACAACAAAACAGTCATTTTCAGAACTCTTGGTGGTTGCGTAAGAAAATTTTGCTTTTGTGCTACAAAGCGCAGATTGTGAAAATGGTTTATTCTGCTGAACAAGACACTTTTATCGTTACATCTTGTTGTCACAATGGGACTTCGTAAACGAAGAATGTGTGTATTCTGTAACCGCTTGTAAGCAAGAATATCTGGCCAAATACCGTGATTTAATAATTCAAGAAACATCGTTAAAGGCTAACATTAGAGGTGGAATCAACAGATTTGTTCGAACTGGCAGTGTCAACAAAAAGAACTCTCGTGGATGATTTTAAGTATCTGGGGAAGTTGTTAATGACTTGAGAAGACTTGATCAGAATTGAACAATTAAACAATGGGTCCAAAATATTGACGAAAGGATGTTACAGAACATTTTTGAAATTAAAAAAAAAATCTAATACTGAATTTATTCTTGAACTAAGTCGTAAATTGTAAATAGCTATAAATTCGGAAATAATTCTTTTTAAAAGATACTAGTGAAAAATGTATTAGGCATGATTGTTAAGAAACATTCCAATTCTTTTCAAAATTTGCAAGCATTTTATGTCAAAAGATGATTTTTGTAAATGTTCCAGTAGTAAATTATGAATGTTTAGGTGGATTTTGCTTCGAAATTTTAATTTTCATATTATTTTTACATTTTAATTTAAAAAATTAAAAATGTATCTATTATCTGATTATTGATGTAGAAATATTGTTTCTACAAATAAGAATACTATAAAAAATTGTGAACTCTTTTATTGGTATGCAGTATTATAAATCTTGTACACTAAAACTTTAGAGAGAAAATACGTTCAATCATTCCCGAGAAAAAAATAAACAAAATGTTACTGTTTGGTAACAAATTAAATTATTTGTTTAACGAGCAACAAATCTATTTGAAATTTAAATTTGTAAAATTTCGAATCTAATAATTTGAAATTCAATCTTTCTTAAAAAAAAATCGAGAGTATTTGTAACATCTACAACAAAAAAAAAGAGTTGCACAAATTACAGTTGCTTTTTTAAATTTCAGAATCATCAAAATTGTTAAGTCTTTTTTTTATTTATTTCACATTATGAGTCATTCCCATATTGTTCTGCGCGTGAAGTTGAATACGATTTCTTTCCAAATCCCAAACTTAACGCTGAAAAGCAAAACAGCAAGCAAGTACGTAAAAACGGATAACGGTACTGTATCGATTTCTGCTTGGACATGGGGCAAATCAGCACTCAATCTAAACTATGCTTCGCTTCGCCCAAGTGCGACATGCGGCAAATCTGCACTAAACAGCAGAGACGAAAATCCCTCGGACGCGGCCTGGTCTATGCGGCAAACCAGTCCTCAGGTGACGTTTTATTTATCGGGTTCTGTTTATTAAATGCCCATTTACATTTATAAAAGTAAGCCATAACACTCATCATAACAGTATCCTGTATGTAAAATCCGTAAGGTAATCCTTACCGAAATGTTATTTTTCAACATTTGTCAAGGAACTGAAAAGCAGTGAATGTGAAGAAAAATAATAAATGTAAGTAACTTTATTTCAACCAGAAAGAGAACTGTAAAGAATACCTAATAGCAGTGGCGGCTCCTCAGAGGAGGCAGGGGAGGCTGAGCCTCCTCTTTTTTTTGGAGCTGAGCTTCCTCTAATTTTTTTCGATGAAAGAATTTATATTTTTGTAGACATTTGTTATTTTTCAGAATATTTTCTTGGATTTAATTTACTTTCATCATATATCAGGTTAAAATGTCGGAAAAATTTATATTTGCGCCCTCACAATCATAATTCACATTCACACCACTCCGCGTTTGGTTTCAGCGGCAGAGGCTTGCTAGCCGCTAGCCTCTGAACGACGATGCATCTGAATAATGAGACCGTAACCTTGACGCATCGTCGGTGTATATTGTATTGGCTAAAACGTTGATCGGACTGCCGCTCCAAGCCGCTAGCCTCCAGCTAGTTCATCTCTTTTCAGATCAAGTCGTACAGATAACTTTATCTCTTTCTTATTAGTTGGAGCAATCGGGTGTAAGTAGGAAAAACATTGAGGTGGTTTCGCGAGCTCCCTGTTCAGTGGTGGTGGTGTTTAGGCTTTACGTAGGTAAGGGTATAAAAGGGAAGACCAACACCATCACTCCCATTAATGGTATTGACAGTTACAATTAGAAACAAAACAGAGCATTTCATGAAAATAATTATAATAAAACTAAATAGTTAACGGCTTCGGTTTTAAGAAACAAATTATACTGTTGGAATTGTGTACCTATATTTATAAGTGATAAATCTTCCGCTTGGGGTAAAACAGGCTATAATAATTTACAAAATTTGTCACGAGCTATAGAAAGGCATGAAAAATCACAGGAACACATATTTTCTTCGATTAAATTAGAAATGCTTGGTAAGCAAAACATTTCCAATAATTTAGATTCGGCTCATAAAAGGGAGAACTATTACGAGAAAGTTGGTGAAAATTGGGCAATTTTGAAAAGACTAATCGATGCAATATAATTTATCTGTCAACGCAAGAGTGTTCTTTTCGTGGGCATGAGGAAAAAAATTATTCAGATAATAAACGATATAAAAAGTAGTGATTTTCAAATTTGAGCCTCCTCTGAAGAAAACTTCACGAGCCGCCACTGCCTAATAGTTTAGTATAACAATGAAAATGAAAATTCCTACACCACAACTGATTCTTATCATCCCTGTTAAAACAAACCTTGATAGTGCAATCTCTCAAACCAGAAATCGCAATTCCCGGCAATTTTTTAGACTACAAAAACGGGAGTCCAAAAAAATATATCCGAAAATAACATTTAAGACAACTTACCAGTACCTGAAAATATCCTAGAAGAACATCTTGGTTTAACAATGAAACGCCGTTCTCTCTTTGCTAATTTTTGAATGCCTGCTACGCCTCTTTATACCTAATTTTCGATTTTTCCGAAATTAAACTGTTTAATGCTTGACTGGCTGCATTTTTAACATTTTTGGGTAGTACGTCGCATAAATCCATTATTTTTCTAAATTTGTTCATAAAGGTTTTTTGAATAAACAACAAAATGTAACCATGACAGGGAAGCATCTCATGCAAATGCGATCAGCTCAATCTTTTTCAAAGCAAATTGCCTGATTTAACTGTTTTCAATTTTTGGCTCAATGGACAGAAATCGATAAAACCTTGAACCCACCATGGATCTAACAATGTCACAACAGCCTTAAATGTCTCAAAATCCTCGCTATCGCTCGGCTTTCGAACTGACAATTGCGGCTGTTATGACATTTACTACATCCTAGGTGTGTTATAGCTATTAACATACCTAGAATGTAAAAAGTGCCATAACTGCCGTAGCCGTCCGTTTGAAATCCGAGCGTTAACGGGATTTTAATTAGGCTTACACGACTAAGGCGGTTATGGCACTCTTTACATCTGCGGTGTGTTCAAGATTTTATCGGTTTCTGCCCATTTTAATTCAATGGTCCAAAAATCAATAAAAATTTAAATAAATTTGGTTGATTACGTTTGCATGATATACTTCGGTGTCATAGTTACATTTTGTTGTTTATGCAATATCAAAATTTGTAAAATAAGTTCAAACGGCGTTTCCAGCGATTTTTTACCGGAAAATATATTAAATAGTGTAGCCGAAGGATATATGTATTAAGGAGTCTGTCAACCACAAAATTAAAATTGCTAAGAGAATGGTTGGTCCCGATGCAGACAGTAGTAGTTCCAGTGCCTCAACGCCGATCCAGTACGACAATAATGTAAGAACAAATGCGATCAGTTGTTCAACAGCGAAAACATCTGAAGAACTGATCGACACCATCATCAGCAATCCACTTTTCCGGATGCACCGTCGTTAATTGTTATTACAATGGCAAAGAAAATTCCCAACTTTAATTCGCATTAGATATCTTAAGACTTTGTTTTGTCTCTTTGTCGAGAAATTCTAGGTATATGAAATTGTTATACGTTAAGAAAGATTAAATGTCAATAAATGTTGAAATGTTAGTAAATACTGTTGTTTAAGCTATGAAGAATTTTTTCAGTTGATTTGTCGTGAAATGGGGTATTATTGTAAAATTAACATATTCATCAGTGTTTGTAAAATTGACATATTGTGCAATAATTTACAGATACTGTTAGGTTATGTTATAGTTATCAGACTATTTTTGTGCATGTAAAATACTTCTTAACAGACAGAAACCGATAAATAGCTACTACCGGGTTGAAAGCAGTACCGTAAAAAATCAGAATTTGACCAAGTACGAAATAAATAAATAAGTTTTATTATGTGTTTTTTTCCTCATATTTGTTTTTTGCAAATAACCTTTCCATGTTACACTTTGTTTGGCCAGTAGCGAATTACAAGTGCGCATTATAAGCTCCTCCTGTCATCTTCTCATTTGAAGGCAGCTCTATCATGTTAATTCTCTTACTTTTACTTAATCTTCATAATTTACCTTCGAAGTATCCTTCCGGACATTGTTGTAAGCACAAATCTAGATCGATGACTCTCACATGACCTGGTGAACATGTAAGACAACTCTTTTGATCTGACCCGGTGCACGTTTCGCAAGCTTCATGGCACGGTTGGCAGACACTCTGTGAATCGGAGTAGCTTCTGGGTGGACAAGTGCTTACACAGGTCCTGTTGAAACAAAAATTTATGTAAACGATTATCGCTAAACTAGAGAAACTTACCTATCCATTCTCTTGTTCTTGCAGGCTATACATTTAGTCGGACCTCTCCCGAAGCATCCTTGATCATCACATTGTTCATCACAGTTCTCCTTTGTTTCTTCATCATCATCTATATTATTATCGTTATCTCTTATCTTCGTCTTTTTCCCATCTAATGGACTAATGGACTCTTGATTTTCCGAACCCGCAAACGAATACACGTTTGGGAAATTGCGGAAACCCTTGAATGATTCTGAATTAAAGAAGTTATCGGTGACGGGAGTGACTGATTCAGAAACCGTAGGAAAAGTAAACGTATTAAGAGGGGACTTCCATGGACTAGAGGGTGGCCTGCCCGCAGGCCGCACCCGGATAGGGTTAACGGAAGTCCCATAAAAGATCAGTTGCCACTTCTTAAGAACGCCCGGCTGATTTACGTGTCTATTACCCGCGTTAATAATTCGTAAGGTCCACCGTCCCTCTGCTCTTTCTCCCCAGTAGTGAACACTTAAAAATGGCCAGTCGTCGAAATTCGAGCTAACGACATCTCGTGGTCGCTCGAATAGTAACGTCGAAGTTGTACCCATTGGTGAAATCAGTAAAATTCGCAAATTTCCTCTCGGGAAAAACCTTAAGGAGATCTTACATTGTACGTGTTCCAAAAAATGAACTTCATTTAAAGAGTTACTGCAAGCGTCAACGTCCATATGAAAATCTAAGGTCGTACCGTAAGCGGCATCGATCCTTCTGTCTTCCACGAGTTCCTGCGACTTGCAGATGTGCTGCGGAGGTACTGTTGTCCACTTTTCGGATAAACTCACCAGAGCACCGGCGTCCATTAAACCGTAACCGAACTTGTGTGAAACTTTACGACCTACGCCGTTTGTAATCCAACCGCTTTCCTTTTCGAGGGGCGGCGATCGAGAAGTTAGTACCACCAGATACTGCATATCACGCCATGTGAGACTGGGGTTGGCTTCTAAAGCCAGGCCACATATTCCCGCTGCCAAAGGTGCGGAGGCAGAAGTCCCAGTGTGTTCCACAGTACAGATATGGTCGGGGCGAAGGCGAGCGTCCATATCTACTGTAGCGACACTTTTATCGTGACCAGGAGTTCCGGAGCTGTAGGTGGTGGCGAGGGTGGAAGAGCATTCTTCGAGGTACCACGGTTTGTAGCTGCAACAACATATATAATTAAATAGGTATAAATTACGAACAAATCAATTAACGTAATACGTGTATTTTCATATCAAAACAGATTAAAAATAGTGCGGCAATTTACTGCAATGTGAGCCGGTCTATTCTATTTATACTCAGAATTTTTCGGAAGAAATGTCAGATTGCAGTGGCTAGGAGATAAATGAACAATAATAAAGTCGTCGCTATTAATTGTAGCGCATTTCATAGCCTATGCTAATACTATTTGCGTACGACATGTTATCATTGTAAATTGTGAAAGAATACTAAATAGGATCAATTTTTATTGGTTTTACTTCCCGAGCATAAGTGAGTCTCGCATTTCCATCAGTCTGTGTTGATTTTTATTAAACAGATGATCTCCAAAACTATTGGATTTACTGTTTTTAAATTTTATATGTACAGTGGACGCCAAAAAAGTAGGACAATGGCCTTGGGCACACAACAAAATTTAAAAATATGTAAAGGGTAAATTTAGATTTTATCAAGCATGTTAGTGTCAGTGTCATTTATTATTTCATGTTTTCTCGATGGGTCATAACCCCCACCTCGTCTGTCTGTCTGTCGTGTGTCAGACTTGTTACGACAGATAATATCCTAAACTATCGGAATGATTGTTGTATAATTTTATAGGTGTGTTACGATTATGAATATCAAGTAGATGGTAAAATGCTAACCAAACTTTGTCTGATCATCCCCACCAACAATATGATCACGTCCCCTCAAAACTATACAAAGTAAATGGGTTTTAAATTGTATAAAATAACATAGTCGTACACGTGTAGTTGATGAATTCGTTTAAAGAGTTGAGTTTTTAGCCGACACGTCCAGATCTTGGGAAAAGAAGATATGTAACATTTTGCAATTTCATTTTGAAACTGCAAAAATGAACCCTTTGAAATGTTGCAGATGTTTTATTTGTCGAATAAAGCCTGTCTAAAATGTGCAAAACATGATGAGTCAACACTTGCATTGCATTCATATTTTTCAAACCTGCTTATACAGGGCGACTGCAAAACATTAATGAATGAATGAATTTATTTTACTGAATAAATCAGGAATAGCAAAACTGAATGCTTTGAAATCTAGCAGACGTTTTAAAGTTGTTGTAAGCATGGTACATTTTTAATCAGAATACATCTGTTTATTCCCCTCTAAAAATTGATGACGTCATCTTAAAATTTTGCCTAATAAATCCTACCTAAAATGTACAAAGTATCATGAGTTTTAACTTGAAATTTATGACTGCATTTATATTATTTAGATTTACTTATACAAGTGGCTCAAAAAATTAATGAATGAGAGTCAATTTATTTTATGGATAATTGGATACATCAGGAACGGCTCTCTCCATTTTCCAGAAAATTTGGAAGTACAATACTGTTATTATTAATATTACACTGCACTTATCCAAGTTGATATACCTGTCCTTGCAAAAATGTTGATGATGTCTTCACAAAATTTTGTAATGTAAAAACTCATTTGAGGCACACGCGTAACACGCCTTTTTACATTTACTTTAATATTATATACATATGTTTATTTCAATTCATATGGGTTCTCATAAAAAATTAAATTCGCATTCAGATTTTGCAATTTTTCGAAAATGCTGGACATGATTCACTGTACTTCACAGACGAGGAAAGTTATATCGAAACAACCTTCGACCAAAATCTTATCGATTAAATTAAGAAGAAGCTACCTCATTTTCTCGAAAATGTGGGAGTACGCACGTTTTTATTTAATAATGATAAAATACCAATAATAATAGAAATGATTTTAGTTTTTTTTGAGGGGAGAAACTCACTCAAATCAAACAAATTTCAACGTGACATTCTTCCGATGTATAAACATAAACAGTTGAAGTTAATGAGCGCGTTATTATTTCCCGTTAGTTATCTGCTTTAAATATATTTTACATTGTTCGTAGTTGTGCAGGGTCCCCCTGGAATTGGTCCCCCAGCGGCACAGAGACTGGGGGTGTGTTATTTATAACGTTGGTTTTTTACTTCTGAATGTTTTGAAATCTTGCATGCGTCAGCACTGTAAATTAAAAATATATATATATGTATATTGATGAAGTTATCTCAAAGTTTTGGCGAATAAATTCTAAGTAAAATGTGCAAAATATGATGAGTCTATACTGATGATTGATTCATTTTTGTTGCTACTGCTTATATAGGATGACTCAAAAAATTAATGATGAGTCAATTTATGTTATTGAGTAAATCAGGAACGGCTCACTTCATTTTCTTGAAAATTTGGAAATTTAATACTCTTATTATTAGTATTCCACTGTACCTATACAAATTAATATCCTTGCAAAAATGCTGCAAAATTTTGTAAAGGAAAACTCATTTGAAGCATATCGACGTGTACAATGCCTCTTCATATTTGCTTTAATACTACATTATATATCTTTATATTAACTTACGTATACATAAATTCGCAAAATCAAATTTTATGATTTTTCGAAAAAGCTGGATATGTTTTATAGTAACAGATGTGCAATTGAAAAATCACTAGAGTTGGCGATGGAATTTCATCTGCCACAAACGGCATGTCTAATCTTATAGCATCCAGAAGTATAACTTAACATTTTAAAACAAGCTGTTTCTGCCATATATCCAACCACTGCAATCCCAACTCCGAGTGATCTTTTCATTGAACACCCGTTATTTCAGGGGCCGGGGAAGTTGTGTCGAAATAACCTTCGACAAATTTTTACTCCCTGGGTGTAAGCTAATTCATTACTGTAACCGAGTCCATTGGACGATTTTGTTTTTTCGATATTTCATGAACCCTAGAGCACGAAAAAATAGATGTCCCGTTTCCGTTTGTCCGTCTGTCTGCCGTCTGTTTTCTGTTCGGAGTTTTATTAGATATATAATCTCCGTCTGGACTCACTGTTGTAAAATTTTGCACATGCATTAGGAATTTCGTGTAGATGGTAACACGATACACCAAAATTTGAAAAAAAAAAAAATCAAAAATGTATTGCAATTGAACTTTGAAACTGCAAAATTCAATTCTCTAAAATCTTGCAAACGTATTAAGGTTATCGTAAGCATGGTACATCGCTATTAGAATACATGTACTTTAAATTTTACAGAATTACATACTCCCGAATGTGTGACTTATTATAATCCATGTCAAGTTTTTACCCTACACATCCTTATTTTTGGGAAAAACTCAAAATTGTATATACTGCGTACGGTGAGAGATTGAGTGAGAGAAAAGTCACTAAATCTACGCTAAGGAAAGTGTACCATCCGCGCGAAATTTGAAATTTCAAAATCATTCTAATCTTAAGCGCTACAAAACATAAGTTTTCCATTATTCGAGAATTTTTCTGCTGTCTTTTAATAACAAAAAACGATGACATTACACCTCTGTCTTCTCCTGAAAATTGTTTCAAATATTTCCTAGAACATTCATCTTTAGGGTACGTGTTCACTGGGGAGCAACTCTTACGTGAGTTCTGGTTTTGATTTTATACCATCTTTAGTCTTTAAGTTGTAATTTCAAATTTCAGAGGTCTATTATTGCAATTAATTGAGTTATTACCAAAAAAATATACGTAAAACAGACTTATCGGAGATCATTGTCGCACTACGAAAGGGGTTCGTATTGTGAGAGTCGCTCACAAACTCGGAGAAACCAAGTAAAAACGCTGGGCAAGCGATATGCTTACCCAGTTGAGGGCAGGCCCGACCATGGCTTTACGTGCTGATCTTGGAATTATTTCTCGCAAGCGCCCTCTCAAGTGGACACGTACCTTTAAAGAAGCACTGGAGATGAGAGTCAGAAAAGTGGCCTAACCTTAGCAATGGAACTTTCAGTAGTTTTACATTTGTAACAGAGACAGTGACAGACAGCTGTGAGTGACAGCGTAGGAATTTCAGTGTATTTTATAGTGTTAACTTGCTGCCAACTTACATGTCAACTGTCAAGAAATCCCAATCTCTCACCGGAACCACTATAACAACATTTTACAATTTAACTTTAAAATTGCAAGACCGAATGCCTGAAAACTTGCAAGCGTTTTAAGGTTATCGTAACAATGGTAAATCGTTTATCAAAATTTTTTAGTTTATGCCCCCCAAATAATGATTAGGTAATTTCAACTTTGCCGAATAAATGTTCCTTAAATTTGATAGAATTACATACACCTGCACGTATGATTCAAGAAGCCGTATTGCGTTTTAATCCTATAGTTCAGTTTTTGGGGAAAAAATTCAAAAGTTTAGCTTAAAATTTAATTTTGAAATTGCAGAACCGAATACTCCGAAATTTTGCAAAAGTTTTAAGGTTATAGGAAGCATTATATATCGTTAATGTAAATATTCGTTTATGGCCTTCTCAAAAAATGATGACGTCATATTACAATTCTGCTGAATAATTTATTTTTTATTTTAAAAAATAACATGCTTCTGCATGTATGATTTATGAATCCACATTGAATTTTTACCTTTGCCATCCAGATTTTTGGGGAAAAAATCTAAATTTTGTAACAATATTTTACAATTTAACTATGAAACTGCAAAAACCGAATGCTGTGAAATCTTGTTATGGTAATTAGAAGCATCGTAAATCGTTAATCAAAATTTGTGTGTCATTTTACCATTTTACCGAATGTATAGATGTATAAGTGTTCCCGAGAGACGAATGACTGTTGTTAATTAATTAATGAGCCCTCTCTTCTGCGTTGCGGAGATAAAATCAACCAAATTTAATTTTCTTTTAACCGTTCTAACATACTCGTAAACAGTCGAAATTAGGCATGTACTGAAAAATTGGGAATATCTACATTTTTTGCTTAAAATATTGTTACGTTATTCGGGTGTTAAAAATCGGCGTGGGTAAAACTCAACAATGTATTTCTCAGTAATACTAATTTAAATGACTAACTGTACAACGAATATGTACACAATAATTCCGACCCGATCTAATTCTTTCATTGACTAGACTCCAGTGAC